AGCCGTGGTGGGGATGGATGTGGTCTTGTGGCCACTGGGCGAACGCTGCCCCGGGGCCTGGAAGGGACTTTGGACTCTGAATCCCCAGCGCAGGGCCAGGGAGGAGACGCGGCCCAGAAACAACTCGCTGCCCCTTCCTTCCCAGGTCTCCGAGAGGCCCTGGGGGACAGGAGGTGGTGACAACAGGAGCGGTTTCTTCCACTGAACGGTGAGCGAGGGACAGTGGCCAGACTGGGCCCTGGAGGCAGCGAATGGCCTCAGTGCTAGGGATGGTGGCTCTGGGGGACTGGATTGGCCCGGGTGGACCCAGTCCGGGCTCTTGGGGGAGGTGACAGTCCGGGCTCCTGGGGTGGGGTGAGGAGGTGGCGGCAGCACAGAGCCAGCGTGGGCTGGAGAGAGGGCCGCACCCTGCAGATGCCCCGGGCACCACCAGGACTCAGCCCGGGCACCACTGCCACCAAGACACAAACAGATCAACAGAGTGAGCTCCGGGGTGGGCACTGGGCAGCCTCAGACTTGGCCCACACGGGGACCGTCCAGGCTGGCAGGCAGAGCGACCAGGGAGTACGGGGGGGGAAAGTAGTGTCCCCTGGTATGGGCAGGGGGGCAGCCGGCACAGCAAGAGGCTGAGACGTGGGCAACGTGGAAACTGTCAGACGCAGACAAGGGTCACCAGGGTGGGCAACAGGGACCACCAGAGGGTGAAAGGATTCGGGCAGGTGTCACCGGGGGCTGACAAGGACACGGACAGGGTCCACCAGGAGGTCCTGGCGAGGAGGCGAGACCAGAGTCCCTGGCCCGGAAAGGGGTCTCCAAGGCAAATGGGCAAATTCTACTGACGTGGCCGTGGCAGCCTTGGGTGTTTGTGGGCTCGGGGAAGGAGTGGACGGGCATTGGAAGGGACAGGGTGGCCGTTGCAGGAGCCCAGCACAGAAGCTGAGAGCAGGGTGCCCAGTGCCCTGTACTCAGCAGAGCCCGGGGACCCCGACGGGACAAACCACAAAACAGAGGGCAGCAGGTCCACAGGTCTGAGTTTTATTGTGCCACCTGGTCACACACACACATACACACACACACTCACACACTCACACACAGAAAGCATGGACAGTGCAACTCGGGGAGTCAGTTTACGACAGAGCTGAACAAAGGCAATGGTGTTTACGGAAGGGTTCTCAGCAGAGGCGGACACGGCCACGGGCCAGCACTGGGCAGGGACGCAGGCGGGGAGACAACAGGAGGACACCGGGACCGGACAAGACGGGCCTTGGAACAATCCCAGGACCCGGGGCTGGAGGTCCCAGGGGTGCCGCTGCTGGGGGCACCCTGAGCCCTAGTTCCTTATCACTGAGACGCACGGCTGAGACGCGGGCGGGCCAGGGAGGTGGCGCAGGACACGGGGCCCCCACTCTGTCCTATACCCCTAAGGACCCCGACTGGGCCAGGAGTGAGGGCGGCGGGGGCCCAGAGGCGGCCGGACTCGGGCTTCTAGCTACGAGGGCGCAGGAGTCGGCTACGCTGGGGGACCCCCAAGGTCCCGTTCACCCCAAATCTGACACTGTTTGGATATGAGGAATGTTGGACCGGGACTCCCCTCTCCCCCCAAGTAAGAAAGTGGAAGGCCAGCGTGGACCCTGCCCAGCAAGGGCCCAGGACCCCCATCTGCGGGCATCTGGGGGCGCAGCAGGGGGATCCCGGCTCCTTCTGACAGCCGGGCCACAGAGGCTGGTCGGGCCACCGGGTGCAGTGCAGTGTGGACGGGGCCCATGGCCCGGAGACTCAGAACCCCCACTCAGATCAAAGGCAGATGCAGGGGAGCCCACTCGGCGCCTCCTCAACCCTGGTCTTTCCTCTCTGGGTCTCTGCTGGTGCCAATGCAGGACCACGGTGGCCCAGCGGTGCCGGCGCACGCATCCAGGAGCACACGTGGGCTGAGCACAGGCATCCAAAAGCATACCCAGGCTCGGAGCGCGCACACACACACATGCACGCACACACACAGGGTAGCGGACACCGCACGACCTCCTGCACCATCCCAGCTCCTCCGTCCAGGGTTGAGAACGTCAGAGTGGCCCACGCGGCCCAGGGGCAGGAGCAGGAAGGGGGCACCGCGTGGACTGAGATGCAGGACACCGCACCCTCGTGGCCGGGGCCATCCGGGGCTCTGAGGGTGATGAGGCAGCATCACCGCTCGGTAGACAAACTTCCGAGCCGTGCGTGCACCGGGCCACGCGAGGCAGTGGACGGAGCCTGGTCTCTGCCTTCAAAGCGAGACCGCAGGGTAAGGGCTCCGGGCACGGGAGGGCGCGTTGCAGGGGCGCGGAAAACATTGGGGGCACCGCGTGAGTGGGGTGCCACGGATCTAACCCCGCGGGGCCTGGTCTCGTCCACGCGTGCGCGCACCGGGCTGTCCCTGCGGGCCCCGTGGTGGCCACGTCCCCGCGCGCAGGGTGCCTCCTCGTCTCATGCGACCTCAGCGTGGAAAACTGGGGGCAGGGGACGCCGGGCACAAACACGGTGGCCCTCGGGCGTCCGCGCAAGGTGGGGACATTCGGGGCTCTGCCAGGGGATCCCCGTGTCCCTTCCTAGCCAAGCACGCAGAGCACCTGCAAATGCACCCGAGCAGGTGAGCCCTGGAGCAGGCGCGGGCCGCCCCCCAAGGCCACGGTGGGTGACCAGCACCGGAGGGACGAAGGGACTTTGTTCTGAGCTGATCATGATGGGGAGACGGCCCTGCTCGTGGCCACGCCTGACCAGAAGGGAGAAACCAGGGGACAGTGCTGAAGGAATCTGGGCGGGGCGCAGGGGGTCGGGGGCCCTGCTGGGCAGACGCCCCCCAAAGAGGAGGCGCTTGATCCGGGGCAGAACGAGGGTGGGGAGTCCCGCTGTCCAGCCTGGGAGACACCAAACCCCATCACTGCCACCCGCGGGAAAAGGCTCACCAAGCAAAGGTGGGCGCACCGCTACACCACCCAGCCCCCACGTCACTCCACGGAGAACACGGGGGGTGGGGGGGACCCGCCACTCACATTCTGGAAGCTTCCAATCAACCCTCCCCACCGTGAAACACAAGGCACTTACTCAAACCTCTCACCCTCTACACGCGTGGCAGGACGGGGACCCTCAACCCACACCTGGCGGACAGGTGCGCGCGCTCCCTGCGCGGTGACGGCGCCAGGGGCCTGACCTGGCAGGGGCAGGGCCGGGGGAGGAGGACGCGCAGGTGTGCCCAGAGCTGTCCCGGCCGGAAACCTGCTCCGTGGGGGGCCCCTGCGCCCCCCGACCCTTTGGGAGAGGCCAGCAGCTGGGCCCGTTAGCAGCGGACGCGCCCGGGAAGGGGCCTCGTCTGGGGCGCGCCAAGCTCTGTCGCGGCCTCAGTGAGCAGCGGGTCGGCGACCTGGGGGGGCCACCAGACGGGCCAGACCCTCCGGGCACTCCGCTCCGCCTTGGGGAGGGGGCCCCGGCTGCGCCCCGGCAGGCCCCGCACGCGGGGGCCGCCCCCCCAAGGCTGGCCATGGCCACAGCACGGACTGACCACGGAAGGAACTGGGGGCTGGGGGCGCGACGCCAACGGGGTCGCAGGGACACAGAAACTACCTGAGATCAGATTTGCCCCAGCGCGGCCCCCGGCAGGAAGACAAACGGGGCGTCGGTGGGGACAGTTTGGCCTGCAGAACTGGCGGCCAGCAGGTTCGGACCGGACAGCACCGAGATGCGAGTCCTGGGGGGCGGCCCGGGGGGCGTCTTTGGTCCGACTGAGCTCGGTGCCTCCGCGGGGCTCACTGGCCTCTCTCCAGGGTCCCCCCCTACCACCCTCAGCCCGGTTTGGAGATGCCCAAGCCCGGGCCCTGCGCACAGCCGTCCACCCCAGGAGACGCCCTGGGGTGCCACCCACCCGGTGCGCCGGGGAAGCAAACGAGCCGGCGACCCCCGAGGCCCAAACGGGAGCGTGGTCCGCCCGGGAGAGCCGAGTCTGGGGTCTCCGGCCCCCCTCCGGCGCGCCAGGTGGGCACCGGGCAGGGAGAGGAACGAGAGACTTTTATCCCTTCGGAATAAATAAATAAATAGGAATTGGGATTAGCGAGAACTGGGAGCTGCGCGGGCTGGTCTGTCCGGGCTCGGGGTTTTATCCAGACGACGTCCAGGGGAGCGAGGACTGGCAGGGCCCACCCCAGGGCCCTGGGTGGGTGGCCCGTCCGGCCGGCCGCTGCGCAACGCCAACACGTTTCTAAGCAGGAAGCACGAGGCGGCCCGGTGGGGGTGGCCCGGGGTCAAGTGGGGTGCGGCCGGCGCGTGCCGGGCCTCGAGGACCGAAGTCCTCCAGGTTCTGACCGACCGACTGACCGGCCCGCCGGGACACGACCCCCCAAAGTGCACGGACAGAGGGAACAGGCTGGCTCAGACGCACCCCAGGAAGCAGACGCGTGCGCACACGCCCTGTCCACGCAAGCATGCGCGCACGCACACCGTTCCCCCCACCCAAGACGCGCGCACCCAAGCGCACCCGTCCCCATACGCAGACGCACGCGCGCACACCCTGTCCCCGCAACAGACGCACGCACGCACGCACGCACGCGAGTGCGCCCTGGCCCCGCAACAGACGCACGCAACGCACACCCCGTCCACACATGCAGACGCACGCGCGCGCACGAGACGCGTCCACTGTGCGATATGGAACGTCAGCTTTCGAGCGGGGAGGCTGGAGGCTGGACAGCGGCGATGGTCACGGCGGCTTCAGTGCGCGGCTCCGCCCCCGGCGCCGCGTCCACCTCCGCGCCCAGCCGCCAGCACGTGCCCAGGGCACGGGGCAGCGGGGTCATCACGGAGGAGGACCGGGGCGCTGCCCGACGCCCCGCGTCCGCTCTTGGTCCTTCGCTCCTGCCCAGGGGTCAGCGGCTCCCGGGACTCACGGCCGCGGCTGCGGGCTGCTCGCAGGCGGCGGGGAGGGGGCATGGCAAAGCGCCCCCGCGGCCGGGTCGGCCGGGCTGGGCAGCCGGGGCGGCCCGCGGGGGTCCGGCCTACAGCAGCGTTTGGTAGAGATAGCCCCTCCGGTAGGCACTCAGCGGGTAGAACGTGGCCACCACGAACTTCCCGTCGAACACGCGCCCGGTGAGGAGCTTCTGCGCCGCCTTGGAGTCGCTGGCGTTCGCGTACTCCACGAACACCTGCCGGACAGACAGACGCGCTCGGCACCAGGGTCGCGGCCACTCCCACCACAAGCCCCGCCCGCACCTGGCCACGCCCCTCCAGCCACACCCCCACCTGGCCACGCCCCTCGTAGCTACGCCCGCCGCTCAATCACATCCATCACAACCCTGCAGCTCAGCCCTGCCTGCTAAACCACGCCCATCGCCCAGCTCAGCCAATCACTGAGCCAGACCCAGCACTCAACCTCGCCCATCGCCCAACCCCCTTCCTCACTGCTAGACCCGCCCACCGGTCAGCCCCGCCTCCCACTCAGCCCCGCCCACCACCAGCCCCGCCTCCCGCTCAGCCCCGCCCACCACCAGCCCTCCTTGCTGCCAGCCCCGCCTCCCGCTCAGCCACGCCCACCACCAGCCCTCCTTACCCCCAGCTCCGCCTACTGCTCAGCCCCGCCCACCACCAGCCCTCCTTACCCAGCTCCGCCTCCCGCTCAGCCCCGCCCACCACCAGCCCTCCTTGCTGCCAGCTCCGCCTACTGCTCAGCCCCGCCCACCACCAGCCCTCCTTACCCCCAGCTCCGCCTCCCGCTCAGCCCCGCCCACCAGCCCTGCCTACCACTCAGCCCCGCCCACCACCAACCCTCCTTACCGCCAGCTCCGCCTCCCGCTCAGCCCCGCCCACCACCAGCCCTCCTTACCCCCAGCTCCGCCTCCCGCTCAGCCCCGCCCACCAGCCCTGCCTACCACTCAGCCCCGCCCACCACAAGCCCCGCCTCCAGCTCAGCCCCGCCCACCACCAGCCCTCCCTGCCGCCAGCTCCGCCCACAGTTCAGCCCCGCCTACCGATCGCCACGCCCACCGCCGAGCCCCGCCCACGGCTCAGCCCCTTGCACCACGCCTGGGATGCCACCCACGCCTGGGCACTCGAGCCGCCCGGCCCTGCAGGGCCGCGTGGGTGGACCACCAAGGTGAGCGGCTGGGCTTCGCGGGTATCCCTGCGGGTGGGGGGAGGGGAGCGGCTGTGTGCAGCCAGGCCCTCCCTGCTGACCATCACTCCCGCTCCAGGCAGGCAGGTGCCCGGCCTGGCCTGCAGGGCACACCCACCCCGCACCCTCCCCTCGGGGATCCGCTCCGAGAGGCGCCTCCACGAGCAGGCCGGGCGCTGGGCACTCCCGCCTGGACTCTGGCCAAGGTGCCCGCGACCCGGCAGCAGCTGCCCCTACCTGTCCTCGGCCGGGGTTCTCCTTGGGGACGAGCAGGGACACCACGGGCCCGTACTTCTGACACTCCTCACGCACGTCCTCCACCACGTCTGCGGAGAGTCACGGTCACGCGTCCAGCCGGGCGGGCGGCCTGGACGTCGGCCTGTCCCGTGCCGGTCCTGCCGCGCAGGGGGTTCCCGTGCGGTCCCAGCCTGCACGCCGCCGCCCCCGGGCCCCCGGACTGAATTCTGACCTCTGACCTAGGCCCCCCGATCTGACCTCCGACTTCTGCGCACGTGGGTGAGGAGTTTGCTGCCTCAGGTGCCCCCATCAGGAAGCAGGACGGGCCCAAGTGTGGCGGGACTTGGGGCGCGGGAAGGAGGGGCTTGGGGTGTGGAGGGACGGGAGACTGCAGAGAGAAGGGAAGGGGTGCGGGGGGCAGGGATGGGGTGCAGGGGGCAGGGATGGGGTGCAGGGGGCAGGGATGGGGTGCAGGGGGCAGGGATGGGGTGCAGGGGGCAGGAAAGGGGTGCGGGGTGCAGGCATGGGGTGCAGGGGGCAGGGATGGGGTGCAGGGGGCAGGAAAGGGGTGCGGGGTGCAGGCATGGGGTGCAGGGGGCAGGAAAGGGGTGCGGGGTGCAGGCATGGGGTGCAGGGGGCAGGGATGGGGTGCAGGGGGCAGGAAAGGGGCGTGGGGGGCAGGGGGAGCGGGGGTGGGGGTCGTGGGGAGCAGGGAGGGAGCTGGGGAGGGGAGGGGGGCCAGGGGAGGGGGCAGGGCGGCCCGGCTCACCCTCGTACTCCTCCTCGTTCTCCAGGTAGTCGTCGTCCAGCACGTTGAGCAGCCGCAGCACGGGCGTGGGCAGCATCACCAGGTCCTCGATGTGGGGGGCTGCGGGGGGGGGGGGGTAGAGGGTGAGGCCCCGCCCCCCCCGCCCCTGCCCCCGCCCCGCCCAGCCCCGGCGCCCCCTTGGCTCACCGAAGGGGATGCTGAAGAAGGGGCTGCCCAGCGCCACCTCGGCGGGGATCCTGCGGCTGGGGTCCTCGTGGAGCATGCTGGGGGGGGGGGGGGGGGTGGAGACACAGGTTGGGCCCGGCCGGGTGGGGGGGGGGCACCCAGGGGGCTTGGGCCGCGGCCGGGCCCTGTGCACCGCGGGGGACCCGCGCCCAAACGGGCTCTGACCCTCAGCACCACCGTCTGTGGTTTCCTGTTTCAGGTCTACGGCGGGGGCGGGGGCTGGAGGCATTTTCAAAAGACAAACGAGGCCGGTCATGGAAATTGCGATTTCACACCCAGCCAGAAACGTGCAGGGTACAACGGCATGTCAGGTGCCCACACGCCCATGCGTGTGCCAGAAGAAACGAAAGGGAAATGTAGCCGGCCTGACAGTAACAGAGCTCTGAGATACAATGTGTCACACACACGCCCAGATACACCAGACACACCCACACACACAGGCTGCAGGCCCCACACCCCCCACACAGACGGCTACACACAGATACACCCCTATACCATCACACACGCATACACACACACCCACAGACACACACACACAGAGACACCCACACAGACACCCATACACAGACTTACAGACACATGACCCCCCACAGAGACACACAGACACCCCCAGACACACAGACACACCCTCTGCACACACACCCAACAGACATCCATGCACCCACACGCACACACACACAGACATACCCTCTGCAAAGACACACACACAGACACCCACATGCGCGTGCGCACACACACACACACACACACACACACAGAAACCCACATCCGGTGAGCTCCTGTACAGTATGTGGCCCGGAGAAGGCCCAGACGCCGGCCCGTGCGGTCACTGTCCCTCAATCAAGCAGAGGCTGACCCCGGCGCCTGAGCTGGGACCGCCAGCACCAGCGGCTCCCACGGCTGGGACCGGCCCCACGCACCATCGGACGCCGGTTCCCACGCGGGGAGGGCTGGTCCAAAGCCACCGGGGTCCGAGGCCGCCCCCACCCACACCCCACGGAACCCGCTCAAGACCTGCTGGGCACCCGATCAGGAAGCCCCCGCGGTCCCTTCCAGGAACTGAGTGGATCAGGACACAGCAGGCGGCGGGCTGTACCTTTTGATAAGGTCTCTGAGGTGATAGGCGGGGATGGCGGCGTTGGCCACGGCTTTACTGGCGAAGATGTGGTCGATGATGGCGGCGCTGTTCGCCTGCGGGACGAGAGAGGCGGCTCCAGCCAGGGTCACCCGGGACACGGCGAGGGGGGTCGGGGAGAAAGGCCCCCCGAGCTCCTCGGGCCCCCACGGGGATCACGGCGACCCCAGGGCAGGGCAGGACCTTCCTCCTGCCTGCCTCAGCCCGACACCCCCAAAACACTGACTTGGGGTCCGATTGGGGTCCGAGGTCTGGACAGAGAGACAGGACAGCAGGGAGGGTGCCCGCGCTGTACACAGCTGCCCCCCGCTCCATCCCCGGCCCCCTAGAGGGTCCCCAAGTCACTCGCCCTGGAGTGATTCCTGAGCACAGAGCCGGGAGGAAGTTCTGAGCACCCCCACGTGTGGCCCCAAAACAAAACCCCAGAGCATGGATGGAGACTCGGCCAGACACGGGGAACCGAGCCGCGTGCATGCCCAGGCAGTGGGGGACAGGGTTCTGGAAACTCGCCTCCTGAAGAATCCAACAGCGGGCTGGAGCATAGCACAGCGGGGAGGGCGTTTGCCTGCACGCGGCGGGCGCGGGTTCGAGTCCCAGCATCCCGCAGGGTCCCCTAAGCACCGCCAGGAGTAACTGCTGCGTGCAGAGCCAGGAGTAAACCCTGTGCATCACCGGGTGTTACCCAAGAAGAAAAAAATCCAACAGCAGGAGGACCCCTGGACATGGCCCACTGCGGGAAACTGCTGTGCCGGGGATCTTTCCTCTCATTTCCAGAAAGAAGGAAAGAAGGCACCGAGGGCTTGGCGAGACATCTGTCACTTCTCAGTCCCGGCACCTCACACACGCACTCCCTGACAACCACGTCCACGGGCCCGGGGCCAGCGCCGTTCTCCGCCTGAGAACGCAGGACACACAAAAGCTCACTTCTGGGCTTGGACCGTGGAAGCCGGTTCCCACGGCAGCGGGCAACAGTGAAAGGACAGTGTCCACGCGGACAAGGAATTCTGGGAGGCAGCAAGGAGTGGCCGGGGTCCTGAGCAGGTGTCTCGGAGGAGGAGACCCCCAAGTCAATCGCCACCCGATTTCCATGGCTCACTGCACAAGAACCATCCAGCTGCCACGTTTCCACTCCGTCATGTTTCTGCCCTGCCACGGTTCCGCTCTGCCACACTTCCGCCCTGCCACCTTCCTGCTCTGCCACACTTCCGCTCTGCCACGTTTCCACTCTGCCGTATTTCTGCCCTGCCGCATTTCCACTGTGCCACGTTTCCGCTCTGCCACGTTTCCACTGTGCCACGTTTCCGCTCTGCCGCATTTCCACTGTGCCACGTTTCCGCTCTGCCGCATTTCCACTGTGCCACGTTCCCGCTCTGCCGCATTTCTGCCCTGCCACGTTTCCGCGTGGCCACACTTCCACTCTGCCACGTGTCTGCCCTGCCACATTTCCACTCTGCCACGTTTCTGCCCTCCCACGAAACGTTTCCACTCTGCCACCTCTCACCGAACTGCCTGGATTCAGTGACTCATCCTACGTGGCGCGAGCCCACCCTTCGGCTTCTGCCACTGCTTCAGTGGCACCCGGGAGTGTGGTCTGAAGCCCTAAACCCACGACTCTGGCTCTCTGGGGAAACGCACACCTGCCCAAACCTCCGACCAAACACAGGGGCCCACGAGGTGCCTGCAGCCAGGGGAGCGAGCGAGCGGTGACCACGGGCAGGGGGACGGGGACGGAGACGGGGGTGGCGACGGTCTCTGGGCGGGGCCCGCGGGTACCTTCCATTCCTGAGATCGGACTGTGTGTTTGAGCTTCATTCCTGAGAACATCTCCAGCAGGATGATCCCGAGGCTCCACAGATCAACCGCCGAAGTACATTCCGTGTCGCTCTGCAGGCCGGCCTGGGCCAAGCAGTTCTGCAGCTCGGCCTCGGGGGCCCGGTACCCGTCCGTCTGGATGTACTTGACATCCTGCGGCGAGCGGGGAGGCGGTGAGCGCAGTCCCCCCCCCAGAGAGGGACCGCGCTGTCCGGCTGTCCCCGCCCCGCAGAGCAAGGCCACCAGCCAGGAGACGGGCTCCAGCCCGTCCCCAGCCTCCCTCCTGCCCCGGGGACGCCCTGGGCAGCTCTCAGGGCAGACCCACACCTTCCAGGCAGCCCCATGGGCAACCCCCATTTCAGCAGCGGGCCACCTGCCTCCCGGACCCCATGGGTCAGTAAGGACACAGCAGGGAGCAGAGACACCCCGAAAATGTGGGACTGACCGGGAGTGCCGCGTGACCTGATAAGATCGAGAGGGGCTGGTGGTGCAGTGGACAGTGAACGCCTCCTCTGAGAACGGGAAGCTACTAACGGGGGTGGGTGGACTTGAGGGGGGTCGGGTCAGGGCAAGTGACCCTGGGGGCTCCATCCTGGTCATGTCCAGGTCACGAGGCTGGTTGGGGAAGACTCTTTATTCCTGGTTTTTTTTTTTTGCTTGTTTGTGTTTTAGTTTTTTGGATCACACCCAGCAATGCTCAGGGGTTACTCTTGGCTCTGTGCTCAGGAATGACTCCTGGCAGTGCATGGAGGGAACCCTATGGGAGGCCGGGGACTGAACCCAGGTCAGCCGTGTGCAAGGCAAACGCCCTCCCCGCTGTACTATCGCTCCAGCCCTCTTTTTTCTTTTCTTTTTTTTTCCTTTTTGGGTCACGCCCGGCGATGCTCAGGGTTTCCTCCTGGCTTTGCACTCAGGAATTAGTCCTAGCAGTGCTCAGGGGACCCTATGGGAGGCCGGGGATCGAACCCGGGTCAGTCGCGTGCAAAGCAAACACCTTCCCTGCTGTGCTATCACTCCAGACCCCTTTTCTATTTTTTTTTGCTGTTGTTCTGGCACGATAGCACAGCGGTAGGGCGTTTGCCTTGCATGTAACCAGCCCAGCCGAGCTGGGTTCGATTCCTCCGTCCCTCTCAGAGAGCCCGGCAAGCTACCGAGAGTATCTCGCCCGCACGGCAGAGCCTGGCAAGCTCCCGGTGACGTATTCGATATACCAAACACCGTAACGAGAAGTCTCAAAAGAGAGATTGGGGCTGGAGTGATAGCACAGCGGGTAGGGCGTTTGCCTTGCACGCTGCCGATCCGGGTCGACCCAGGTTCGATTCCCAGCATCCCATATGGTCCCCCGAGCATCGCCAGGGGTAATTCCTGAATGCAGAGCCAGGAGGAACCCCTGAGCATCGCCAGGTGTGACCCAAAAAGCCAAAATAAAGAAAAAAAAAAGAGGAGACGTTACTGGTGCTTACTCGAGCAAATCGATGAACAACGGGAGGACAGTGACAGTGACCTGTGGGGTGCTGTGGACGCACGGCCAGCGCCCCCCTGCTGTCCGGCCGGGCTCCCCCGTGCCCGGGGCCGCTCCCTACCTGATTGCCTTCTTTGAAGCTGAGCCCGAAGTCGATGAGCTTGAAACACTCGCTTTCGGCACTCCACAGGATGTTGCGGGGCTTGAGGTCGGCGTGGACGTAGCCCTCGTGGTGGAGGAAAGCCAGGGCCTCCAGGACGTCGCGGGCGCAGTGCTGGACGGTCCACAGGGAGCAGCCCTGGTGGCTGGCGCAGAGCAGCAGCTCCGACACGCTCACGTCCAGGAGTTCCAGCAACAGACAGCGGGACGGCGCGTCCGGGGGGAAGTGGATGGTGAAGACGCCGTACAGGGTCACTGCGGGGGGAGAGGGGGTCAGCCGGGCCGGGCGGGGCGGGCGCGGGACATCGGCTGATTTCCCGATACCGTTCCTTTCAAAATTCCCTCACCCAGGGGCTGGAGCGACGGCACAGCGGGGAGGGCGTTTGCCTTGCACGCGGCTGACCCGGGTTCGATCCCGAGCCTCCCATGGGGTCCCCAAGCACCACCAGGAGTCATTCCTGAGTGCAGAGCCAGGAGCAACCCCTGAGCATCGCCGGGTGGGAGTCCCAAAAAAGCAAAAAAAAAAAAAAAAAAAACCCTGAAAAATGAAAATCTATAAAAAAAAAAAATTCCCCCACCTGGGTCTAAGCAACAGGACAGCGGGTAGGGCGTTTGCCTTGTACGTGGCTGACTGGGGTTCGAGCCCCAACATCCCACAGGGTCCCCCAAGCACCGCCAGGAGTCATTCCTGAGTGCAGAGCCAGGAGCAACCCCTGAGCATAGCCGGGTGGGAGTCCCAAAAAAGCAAAAAAAAAACCCTGAAAGATGAAAATCTATAAAAAAAAAAAATTCCCCCACCTGGGTCTAAGCAACAGGACAGCGGGTAGGGCGTTTGCCTTGTACGTGGCTGACCGGGGTTCGAGCCCCAACATCCCACAGGGTCCCCCAAGCACCGCCAGGAGTCATTCCTGAGTGCAGAGCCAGGAGGAACCCCTGAGCATTGCCAGGTGGGACCCAAAAAGCAAAAAATAAAAAAATAATTAAAAAAAAAATTTCCCCACCTGGGTCTGGGCGACAGGACAGCGGGGAGGGCGTTTGCCTTGCACATGGCCGACCCGGGTTCGATCCCCGATCCCCGGCATCTCATTGGGTCCCCCTCCAGCATCACCAGGAGTTGATTCCTGGAGGCAGCCCTGAGCATCGCAGGGTGGGGATCCCACAAAGACACACCCACCCCTCCTTATGGGATCAAAACAGGAGGGTCCTGGAGAGATCACCCGGGTGGGTGCTTGCCTTGCATGGTAGCCAACCCTGGTTGGACCCCCAGAGCACCGCCCTGCATGATTCCAGAGCACAGAGCCAGGAGTGACCCCTAAGCACGGCCAAGTGTAGTCCCCACGCCCCCCACCCCCCAAAATAATTTCCCCTACAGAGAAGCCAACTGGGTGGCCTGGATGACAAACAAGACAGGCCTTGGGCTGGTCCCTGCTCAGGGGGCAACCCCAGAGCAGTAAGACCCTGCAAACTGCCCAGCTGCAGCCAAGACCTGGGCGGCCTGGGACGGGGGAGGGGACTCGGGCAGGAGCGAGGCAGGACAGTGAACCCAAACAGTGAGCGGTCCCGGGATGGTGCGTCACAAACACCAGGGCGCCACCAGAGCCAAGGGTCAGGGAGGCCTGGGGGGGGGGGGGCGGGTTTCCAATCCTGATCGCCCCAATAAAAACATCCGTTAAGGGGGGGGGGTGAGCCCGGGGTGCGGCGGCTGCACCGTCACTCCGGCCCCGGGTGCAGGGCGGCCAGCTGCGAGTGCCCAGGCCGTCCTGCCCCTCCCCCAGCCCGGGCCGCGCCACCCGCCCGCCAGGGTGACATTTGCCTGCGGCGGGCGGAGCTGAGCTCGGGGACTCTTGTCCGGGCAGGGCAGAGCTCGGGGACCCTTGTCCCCGCGGGGCTGAGCTCCGGGGTCTGCAACCTGGCGGAGCTGAGCTTGGGGACCCTTGTCCTGGCGGGGTTGAGCTCCGGGGTCTGCAACCTGGCGGGGCTGAGCTCGGGGGACCCTTGTCCTGGCGGGGCTGAGCTCGGGGACCCTCGTCCCCGCGGAGCTGAGCTCCGGGGTCTGCAATCTAGCGGAGCTGAGCTCCAGGGTCTGCAACCTGGCGGGGCTGAGCTCGGGGACCCTTGTCCCCGCGGGGCTTAGCTCCGGGGTCTGCAACCTGGCGGAGCTGAGCTCGGGGACCCTCGTCCTGGTGGGGATGAGCTCGGGGACCCTTGTCCCGGCGGAGCTGAGCTCGGGGACCCTTATCCCCGCGGGGCTGAGCTCCAGGGTCTGCAATCTGGCGGGGCTGAGCTCGGGGACCCTTGTCCTGGCGGGGCTGAGCTCCGGGGTCTGCAATCTAGCGGAGCTGAGCTCCGGGGTCTGCAGCCCGGCGGGGCTGAGCCCGGGACCCCTCGTCCCCGCGGGGCTGAGCTCGGGGACCCCCGTCCCCCCGGAGCTGAGCTCCGGGGTCTGCAGCCCGGCGGGGCTGAGCCCAGGACCCCTTGTCCCTGCGGGGCTGAGCTCCGGGGTCTGCAACCTGGTGGGGCTGAGCTCGGGGACCCCCGTCCCCCGCGGGGCTGAGCTCGGGGACCCCCGTCCCTGCAGCCCGGGGGGTCCGAGCCCCGCGCGGCCTCACCGATGTTGCGGTGCCCCTGCAGCTGCTCCAGCGCCGCGCGCTCCTTGCGGAAGCCGTACTCGGCGGCCGAGGCGGCGGCGCCCGAGGCCCCCGGCGGCAGGAACTGCTTGAGGGCGCCGGGGGGCGAGCCGGGGGCGCCGCAGCAGCGCACGCGGTACACGGAGGCCGACGAGCCGCTGCCCAGCCGGCTCTGCACCTGCCACAGCCGCCCGAAGGCCTCCAGGAAGCGCGGCGGCTCGGCGCCCCACGACCCCGCCATCCGGGCCTGACGCCGAGCGCACGCGACGGCCCGCGGAGGCGCCTCGGCCCGCGCTCACATGCCCGCCGGACCCGCCGGACCCGCCGGACCCACCCGCGGCCTCCGCAGGGCCGGGCCCCGCCGCCGTCCGCCGGCCCCGGGCTCAGGCCGCCATGACACCGGAAGCCGGCGCGGCGAGCCCCGCCGCCGGAAGTGACGGGGAGCCAATCGGAGCGGGCGGAGAGGAGGAGAGGGCGGGGCCTGCGTGGGCGGGGCCTCTGCTGGGGGAGGAGCCTCCCTGGGCAGGGCCTGCTGAGGGCGGGGCCTCCTTTGGGGCGGAGCCTCCCTGGGGGCGGGACCTTGCGGCCTGGAGCCTCCACAGGACGGGCTGAGTCTCCTTGGGGGCCAGGCCTCCAGGGGCGGGGTTTCGTTGGGGGCGGGGCCTCCGAGGGCGGAGCCTCCCTGGGCGGGACGTTGCGACCTGGAGCCGCCACAGGACAGGCTGAGTCTCCTTGGGAGCCGGGCCTCCAGGGGCGGGGTTTTATTGGGGGCGGGGCCTTCGTGGGCGGGGCCTCTGTTCAGGGAGGAGCCTCCCTGGGCAGGGCCTGCTGAGGGCGGGGCCTCCTTTGGGTGGAGTTTCATTGGGAGCAGGGCCTTCGTGGGCGGGGCCTATTTGGGGCGGAGCTTCCCTGGGCCGGACCTTGCGGGCCCGGAGCCTCCCCTGGGACGGGCTGAGTTTCCTTGGGGGCCAGGCCTCCAGGGGCGAGGTTTCCTTGGGGGCGGGGCCTCCGAGGGCGGGGCCTTCAGGGGCGGAGTTTCATTGGGAGCAGGGCCCCCAGGGGCGGGACCTTGTGGGGCGGAGCCTCTTTGGAACTAAGCTTCCCTGGAGAGGGGCCTCCAGGGGCGTGGCCTGTTGGTGCTGAACCTCCGATGGAGCCTGGGGGTGGGGGGGCCTGACTCTCCTTGGGGCGGGGCCTCGGCGGGGGCGGAGTCTCTTTGGGCGGGGCCTCTGCGGGGGAGGAGCCTCCCTGGGCCGGGCCTATTGGAACGCGACTCCTTGGGGGCGGAGCCTCCCTGGGGCGGGGCTTCCACAAAGGCGGAGTCTCCTTGGGCTGAGGCCTCCAGGGGCGGAGTTTCATTGGGGGCGGAGCCTCCTGGGCGGGGCCTACTTTGGGGCGGGGCTGTTGGGGCGGAGCCTCCTTGGGGGCGGAGTCTCGCGTTCTGTCACTTTCAGGGAGGGGGCACAGGTCAGCTCCTTTACTTATGTGTGTTTTAGGGGGTCACACTCGGCAGTGCTCAGGAGTCACTCCTAGCTCTGAACTCTTAGGGGTGCTCAGGGGGACCCTATGGGATGCCGGGGATTGAAGCAGGGGTCCTAGGTCTTACCCGCTCTACTATCTCTCCAACCCTCTTCTTTTCTTTTCTATAACGTTTTTGTTATTGTTGCTGGTTTGGATTTTTGGGGGGCACTCGTGGCAGTGCTCAGGGGTTCCTCCTGGCTCTGCACTCAGGGATCACTCCTGGCGGTGCTCGGGGGACCTTATGGGATGCCGGGGATCGAACTTGGGATCGAACCAGGCAAGCGCCCTCCCCACCCCGCTGTACCATTGCTCCAACCCAGCGCCTGTATTTATTTATTTTTTAATTTTTTTATGTATGTAGGCGTATTGTTATTTATTTAGCCACTGATTAGGCTGATTGAATTGAGCATGAACTCCACCCCTGCGTCTGTATTTAAAGGGTTTTGTTAAAAAAAACAAAAACTGGTGCTGGGAAATACACACTGGTGGAGGGATGGGTGTTGGAACGTGTTGGAACGCTGTATGACTGAAGCCTAATCACGAACAGCTTTGTAAGGGCCTGTGTCACAGTGACTCATAAAAAAATTTAAAAAAAAAAAAAAGGCTTTGTTGTGTTTGGTTTGGTTTGTGGACGGCCACACTCGGCAGTGCTCCGGGATCACTCCTGGTGGTGCTCTGGGGACTCTATGGAATGCCAGGGATCGAACCCGGGTTGGCCGCGTGTAAGGCAAATGCCCTCCCTGTTGTATGGCCCCTTTATGTGGTTTCTTTGTCATTTCACTCCATCCTTTGGCTCTGCGGCTCCCGGGACTCAGGTCCTGCGTTGAGAGGTCACTCCCTGTAGCGCCCCAGGGACCCTGTGAAGTGCCAGGGATGGAACCCAGGTCAGCACACACGTCTGGGCCTGGACCCTGCGTTCTCTCTCCAGCTGCCTCTGGCTCATCACCTGGTTGGGCTGCGGCTGTCCTTTGCAGGTTGTTCCTGCTCTAACACCCTCCCACACCCTTCGTGTGTCTGCCGTCACCAGGACTCCTGCCTGGGTGGCCCCGGGGGCCACGTACAGTGACTCACTGTGCCCTCGGCCACCATGGCCGGTGGTCCCCCACGCGCGGCATCTGAATCACATTTTCTTCCCCCAGCTGAGGCGTCCCCGGCCTCCGCGTGGGGGACAGGAGGAGACCACGAAAGTTTCCTCTGGCCAAGACTGGGACAAGGGTCTGTGGGCCCCCAGACAGGGGCTGTGGAGGAGGGGAGAGAGAGAGAGAGAGGGAGGGAGGGAGAGGGAGAGAGGGAAGGAGGGAGGGAGGAGAGAGACTGAGAGGGAGGAGCACGGTGGGTCTGTGAGATCTGACGGCGCCAAGGCCTGGGGCTGCAGAGTAGCAAGGCGGGCGGGTGCTGGCCACCCTGGGCTCAGCATGGCCCAACTGCAGCCCTCCAGGAGTGATCCTTGAGTGCAGAGCCAGGAGTCAGTCCTGAGCACCCATGGGTGTGATGCAAACAGACACAGAGACAGACACACTGGGGAGGGGGGGGAGGGGGAGGGAGAGAGAGATAGGGAGACACTCAGAGACACTGAGAGAGACAGAGACAGAGAAAGACACACAGAGACACACAGGGACACAGAGACAGAGAGAGACAGAGACAGAGAAAGACACACAGACACCCAGGGACACAGAGACAGAGAGAGACAGAGACAGAGAAAGACATACAGACACACAAGGACACAGAGACACAGAGAGAGAGACAGAGACAGAGAAAGACATACAGACACACAAGGACACAGAGACACAGAGAGAGAGACAGAGACAAAGGCACACAGAGACACACAGGGACACAGAGACAGAGAGAGACAGAGACAGAGAAAGACACACAGACACACAGGGACACAGAGACAGAGAGAGACAGAGACAGAGAAAGACACACAGACACACAGGGACACAGAGACACAGAGAGAGACAGAGACAAAGGCACAGAGAGACACACAGGGACACAGAGACAGAGAGAGACAGAGACAGAGAAAGACACAGAGACACACAGGGACACAGAGACACAGAGAGAGACAGAGACAAGGGCACACAGAGACACACAGGGACACAGAGACACAGAGAGAGACTGAGAAAGACACACAGAGATACAGAGAGAGACACAGAGAGAGAGAGAGAGAAAGAGAGAGACCCATCCAGTTAAGACCATTTCCTGGACTCTGGGCCCCCCTAGAGTGACAGTCCTCCAGGCTTTGGCAGGCCAGCGGCCTGGGAATGGGGTGAGGGGGCAAGGCTGTGAGCCCCCGCAGGGCCATGGTGAGCACTGGTCCCGTGAGCACCCTCCCCGGGGAGCAGCAGCCCCGCCCGAAACGCTCCCCTGCCCCCCGTGGGCTGAGGCTGTGGTCACTTCCTGCCGGCAGCCTCACTCGCCGGCCGCGGGGCCATGGACCTGCCGTGCTACCACGGGCCCCTGTCCAAGGTCAGCTGTGAGCGGCTGCTGCTCTCGGACGGGGTGGACGGGAATTATCTGCTGAGGGACAGCGAGACCGTGCCCGGGGTCGTGTGTCTCTGCGTCTCGTGAGTACCCGGGGGGCGGCCGGGGCTCTGGGCACCTCCGGGGGCACAGCCAGAGTGGACGGAGTCAGTTGTAAGGGGCCCAGCTGGCGGATGGAGTGGTGTGTCCACACCGGCCGTCTACACTGGCTAAGCCGTCTACACCGGCCAGGCCAGAGTGCGGGAGTCTGTCTCCACGCCATGTCCAGCCCCAGGACAAAGGTCACTGCAGCACAGAGACAGACAGGGGTGCAGGACATGCCCAGCTGCCGGCCACCTTGGACACATGTGCAAGGTCCTTCCTGGCGGCTAGCCTGCAGTGTCCCACCTGCAGTGTCCCATGGCTGGAAGGTGGAATTTTTTCTCCCCCCAAGACATGGGGCAGGGGGTCAGCGCCCGGTTTCATTCACTTCCTCCCCGTCAGGGCCAAACGGCTGGGAGGAGACGCCAGACCGGGCATTCGGGGGGAGCCCAGGTGATGTGTGATTGTACAGTCACGGCACGAGGGGACAAGCGGCCCAAGTCACCCCCATCTGCTCCAAAGCTCGCCACTTTCTGCCGGGCACCCCCAGAAATACCAGGCCCGGGGCTGGAGCGATAGCACAGCGGGGAGGGCATTTGCCTGGCTCGCGGCCCACCCAGGTTCGATCCCCGGCATCCCCTAGGGTCCCCCAGCACTGGCAGGAGTAATTCCTGAGTGCAGAGTCAGGAGTCACCCCTGAGCATCGCTGGGTGTGAACCAAAAAGCACCATAGCCCTGTCGCACTGTCCTCCCGTCGTTCATCGATTTGCTCGAGCGGGCACCAGTCACGTCTCCATTGTGAGGCTTGTTGTGACTGTGTTTGGCATCTCGAAGACGCCATGGGGAGCTTGCCAGGCTCTGCCGTGCGGGCGAGATACTCTCGGTAGCTTGCCGGCCTCTCCGAGAGGGGCAGAGGAATCGAATCCAAGGCTGGAGAGATAGCACAGTGGGTAGGGCGTTTGCCTTGCACGCGGCTGACCCGGGTTCAATTCCCAGCTTCCCATATGGTCCCCTGAGCACCGCCAGGAGTAACTCCTGAGTGCAGAGCCAGGAGTAACCCCTGTGCATCGCCGGGTGTGACCCAAAAAGCAAAAAAAAAAAAGAAGAATCAAACCCATGTCGGCCGGGCGCCCTACCCGTTGGGCTATCGCTCCAGCCCCCAACCAAAAAGCAAAAAAAAAAAGTAAAAAAAGAAACTGAAAAAGAAAAACTAGAAACACTAGGCCCCCTGCGGACACAGACTTCACAGCTAGGGGCTTACACATTCGGTCTCACCACTGCCAAGTTCCCGCTTGTGTCCCTGTGCACTGTGTCTGAGCAGACCGCAGGGCATGTTGACCAAAAAAAAAATATATTGTTTCCCGGGGCTGGGGTATAGGGGAGATCGCTCAGCCATCACGGATACACGGATGTTCGTCCCCGAGATATGAACTCTATCGCCCTGGGACCAGATTGAGATAACGGGGTCTCAAAGCGCGGAAACGGGTGGTTTTGTGCAGGGGTGTTAACTGTGACCGTGAGTGACAGCGTGGGGACCCGCCTGGCCAGTGCGGGCTGCAGGGGGGTGGAGGGGAGGTGAGAAACCAGCAGGCAGCAGGAAGTCGCAGGCCGGGCTGGTCAGGGGACAGGAAGTGCCCCCTGCTGTGACGGTGTGACAGATCATGGGGTGACTGTGAGTCCCCCTGCGACAGAGCTTCTAGAACATTCCGTGAAGGTGGAATCCATCTGGGAGCTGGAAGCGAATGCTCCGTCCGACCATCAGCTTAGGGTCCCTTGGGAGGGACGGGGTGTGTGCAAGGAGCCAGCTGCAGGCGTGAAGGGGGGAGTGGAATGCAGACCCCCGGGTAGGGGTAACAGGAAGGACCCCAGGGCCCCGACCCTTTCTTCTCCTCCTGGAAAGAACTGCATGCAGACGAGGCACCAAATGGTCCCCACTTGGTAGGAAAATCAACCATCGTGGCCGAGAGATGGTTGGGGACAGCGGGAAGGGCACCGGGTTCCACGCCGCTGACTGGCTCTGCCTGAACCCCTCCCGGCCCGGAGCACACGGCCCAGAAGCTGGTTCTGAGCACCACTGGGTGCGGTCCCCAAGCAAAACAAAACCCCCCAAAACGCCCGTTTAGTATTTCCTGCCAAGTGGGGAATTCTGTGGGCGGAGAAGGTCGGCTGGCTTGGCCGGGAAATAAAGGCGGGAAAAGCCGCCTGGAAGGGCCCAGGGGCGGCTGAGCCAGGTTAAACACGGTTCATAGTGCCCGGCGGGGGGCAGGCGCGGGGTCGCTGGGTCCGGGGGTCTGCGGGTCGGTCCGGGTGTGCAGAGGCGGAGGGGAGAGGGGCTGGCACAGGGAGTTTCTGGAATGAAAAGTCACGGCACGGGCCGCCAAGGTTGGAGTTACCAGCAGGGCTGGTTCCGGGCTGGGCTCTGCAGGGGTGGGACTCTGTGTGTGTGTGTGTGTGTGTCTGCGTGAGTGTATGTGTGTCTATGTGTATGTCTGTATGTGTCTGTATCTGTGTGTGTGTCTGTGTCTGAGTCTGTATCTGTGTGAGTGTGTCTGTGTATCTGTGTGATTCTGTGTGTCTGTGTATCTGTGTGATTCTGTGTGTGTCTGTGTATCTGTATCTGTGTGTGTGTCTGTGTGTGCATCTGTGTGAGTGTGTAAATCTCTGTGTCTCTGTGTGTGTTTGTGTCTGAGTGTGTACGTCTGTGTATGTGTCTGTGTCTGTGTGCGTGTATCTGTGTGTGTGTTGTGTATCTGTGTGTCTGTTTGTGCGTCTGTGAGTCTGTGTGTGTATCTCTGTGTGTCTGTGTTTGAGTGTGTGTCTGTGTGTGTCTGTTGTGTCTGTTGTGTGTCTCTGTGTGTGTCTATCTGTATTTGTCTCTCTGTGTATGTCTGTGTGCGTCTGTGTATATGTCTCTGTGTGTCTGTGTATCTGTGTGTCTGTGTATCTGTGTGTCTGTGTATCTGTGTGTCTACGTGTGTCCATGTCTGTGTGTGTATCTCAGTGTGTCTGTGTCTGTGTGTCTATGTGTGTGTATCTATATATGTGTGTCTGTGTCTGTCTGTGTCCGTGTGTCTCTCAGTGTGTCTGTGTGTATCTGTATGTGTGTGTCTGTGTGTCTGTGTGTGTGTGTGTGTAAAGGCCTGCCGTCTCCAACCCACTCTCCCTACCTGGGTCTTCACCCCGAGTGCACCCTGGGCAGAGCAGGGTGTGGCCCCTGAGTTGCATCAGGGTTTTCTCCCTTCCTGCCTGGGGTCCTCACGTCCACTGCTCTGTGTCGTGTCCTCTTAAAGCTCAGTGGACAGGTCGCCGTGAAGCCTGAGTGGCCACGGGGACAGCCGGAGGCCCCCTGAGCACCGGGCCCTCCGTCTCCGCCTCTCAAACCCGCACAAAGGGGCCAGCGGGGAGACGGTGCCCCCTTCCTGGGCTCGGGGCTGACGAACAGAGGCTGGACCCCCACACGGCGGCAGGGGGGCCGGGCTAAGCCCTCCCGTGTTTGTCTGCCCCCAGGTTCAGGAACACCGTGTACACCTACCGCATCTTCAAGGAGAAACCTGGCCATTACAACATCGAGGTAACGTCAGGGCCCAGCGGGGGCCAGCGACGTGGGGTGGACACCAAGCTGGCCAGAGCTGGGTCCTCGGGGAGCCCAGGGAACAGCCCCTCGGGCTGGAGCGAGGCTTGGCGTGCGGGAGCCCCAGGTCTGCTCCCCGGCACCCTCAGGTGTGACCCTGCACCCCCAAGGGAGTGAATCTTCTAGAAAAGAGCAGCTCCTGTCCTGCTGGGGCCCCTCCCCAGAGGGCAGAGACGCTCAGGCCAAAAGACACCGCCCCAAGGACAGGACCAGGGTGGCCAGGGCAGCGAGAGCATCTAAGGACCCTGCTCGAGAAGGCAAAGGCGCTGGCCACTGGCTCGACTGCTTCCTGCTGTGACCGGGCGGCTGAGGAGAAACCTCAGGGCTGACTCCTGGCTCTGCACTTGGGTCACTCGCTCATGGGCCCAGGGGACCCTATAGGATGCTGGGAATCGAACCCGGGTCGGCCGCGTGCAAGGCAAACGCCCTCCCCACTGTGCTATGGCTCCAGCCCTTAGATATTAATTTTTTTTGTTTCTGTGTCCCAAACCCAGCAGTGCTCAGGGTCGACTCCTGGCTCTGTGCTCAGGGAATCTCTCAGCAGTGCTCGGGGGACCCTCTGGGGTACTAGGAATCAAACCCAGGTTGGCTGCATGCAAGGCAGGCACCCTGCCCACTGTGTACTCTCTCCAGCCCCCTTCAAAATATCTTTTTTTTTAATTTATTATTTTTTTTATTCGTGAGACACCATGAGGTACAGTTGTAGACTTACAAATTTTGGTGCTTGGGTTTCAGTTATACAATGATCAAGTACCCATCCCTCCACCAGTGCCCATCCTCCCCCACCACAGGTCCCAGTATCCCTCCCACCCCCCACCCCCCCCATCCCACCCTGCCTCAGTGGCAGGGCATTCCCCCTTGTTCTCTCTCTCTTCTTTTGGGTACTGTGTTTTGCAAGAGAGGCTTTGAGTGGCAATCATGTTTGGTCTATAGACTACTTTTAGCATGCTTCTCCCACCCTGGGAGGGTCCTCACAACACCCTTTATTTGGTGCTCTCTTCTCTATCTGAGCTGCCTTTTCCCCTAGCACGTGTGGCTGGCCTTCAAGTACCAGGGATTTTGCTCCAAAATATCTTATTTATTTATTTATTTATTTATTGCTTTTTGGGTCCCATCCAGCGGTGCTCAGGGCTGACTCCTGGCTCCTGGTGACTCAGGACTCACTCCTGGCGGTGCTCAGGGACCAGATACCATATGGTATGCCAGGACTGAACCCAGATGAGCCTTGTGCAAGGTCAATGCCCTCCCTGCTGGGCTATCGCTCAGGGCCTTATTTAGATACATTTTTTTTTCTTTTTGGACCACACCCGGCGATGCTCAGGGCTGACTCCTGGCTCTGCAACTCAGGAATCACTCCTGACGGTGCTCGGGGGAGCCTATGGGATGCTGGGAATCGAACCCGCGTCGGCCACATGCAAGGAAAATGCCCTCCCCGCTGTGCTATTGCTCCAGCCCCCCAATGAGTGTTTTAAGGGGGTTTCCCAGGGCACTGGGGGCTCTAGCCGGGCCCCATCACTTGGGGTGCAGTTCATGGCCTTCTGAGGTTGGTTTTGGTTGGTTGGTTGGTTTTGCTTTTGGGTTCCACCAGGCGATGCTCAGGGGTTCCTCCTGGCTCTGCACTCAGGAATCACTCCTGGTGGTGCTCGGGGAACCCTATGGGATGCCGGGGGTCGAACCCAGGTCGTCCGTGTGCAGGGCAAACTCCCTCCCTTCTGTGCTATCACCCCACCCCATTTTTTTCTTTTTAAAAAACGTGAGCGTGAGCAGAGGTCTTAGGAAAGGGTGTGACGTGTGCACCAGCAGAACAGACTAGAAAGAGGAAAACACACCTGGGCCCCTTCAGGTCTGCCCTGACTGCACACGAAACTGGCAGTGACATTTTCCGGGGGGGGGGGATTCTGGAAAGTTCTTTTTCTCCCCATTCCGGTCTGGTTGTGCACGTGAAAGGCAGCACCCAGGCTGCCTTTCTGCTCAGATTCTGCTGGTGTTGGGGCTGGAGCGATAGCGACAGTGGGGAGGGCATCAGCCTTGCACGCGGCGGCGGACCGGGTTTGAATAACTCCTGAGTGCAGAGCCAGGAGTAATCCCTGTGCATTGCTGGGTGTGACCCAAAAAACGCAAAAACAAACAAACAAAAAATTCTGCTGATGTTGGGGCAGAGCTGTGGGCGGGCGGGGGTGGGGAGCCCCAGTCGGCCACTGGCCGGCCGGTCAACCACACTGAAAGGTGAGAACGTCTGGTGGCCGGCCACCCGGAAGCCACATACAAACATACACTATTTGGAAACCTTCTTCCGTGACAGACAACATGCGTCCCTGCCCCCGTGTCCTTCTGGGGAAAGTGCGTCTGGTTTTAGTATCTGTCCCCAGCGTCCAAAATCCACTCCCTGGGCTGGTGGAGCGATAGCAGGGAGGGAATTTGTCTTGCACGCGGCCGACCCGGGTTCGATCCCCGGCATCCCATAGGGTCCCCCGAGCACGGCCAGGAGTGATCCCTGAGTGCAGAGCCGGGAGTCAGCCCTGAGCATCACCCGGTGTGACCCAAAAAGCAAAAAGCAAAAAACAAAATCCACTCCCTTCGACGGGAGAAGCTGCCGGCCTGGCCCGGTGTCCTGGGGGCTGAGGGCCAGGTCGCCCGGGTCCAGCGGGCTGCAACCTGCCCCGACGTCTCTGACGGCTGCTCCCGGGTCCCCAGACGGTGCAGGGCAGGAGACGGCAGGTCTTCCCCAGCCTGCAGGAACTCATCAACACGTTCCAGAAGCCGGACCAGGGGCTGGTGGTGGCCCTGTTACAGCCCATCCCCAGGGGCGGCCCCTGCCTAGGCTGGAGAAGGTCCAAGTTGGAGCTGGAGGACGTTTATGGTGAGTGCGCGTGGACGGCAGCCCTGTGCCCACCCCCCCGCCCCGCAGTGCTCAGGGCTGGTCCTGGGGGTGCTGAGCTGAGCCCAGGGGGCGGGAGGGCACCAGCTTCAGCCCCGAGAGCTCCCTCAAACCCAGGCCCGCGCTTAGCCTGAAGTGAGGACGCCCCGTCTCAGTCGCACTTTCTCCTGGGGACACCCCCCCTGGGGGGCTGTGGCGTGCAGGGGGCAACGGGGAGAACCAAGGGAGTTTGAGGGGGTGCTGAGACCCACGGCCCTTGCTGTGTGCAGGGGAGGGACCCTTTAGCACCCCGGCAGACCCCACCCGCACCACCATATGCCATGAAGCTGATTTGGGCGCTCTGCCTGAGACCCCACAGTGCCTTTGTCTACATCAGCTCCATCCAAACCTTGGGGAACCCCCCCAAAGCCAGACAGCCAGGAAGACCCCCGGGTGCCGCCCCTACCCCGAAAACCTAAGGACTGCAACGGCCAGTATGGGTGTGACCCCCCCAAAAACAATGACAAAAACCCACCACAAGACACACACAATGATGGGGTCAGGGGACAGCTCCAGGGGACGCCCCGATCACAGCCCCTCGCCCGCAGAGTGGCCACCCGAGGAGGCAGGAGACACCCCGTCCCCTGAGTCTGGGGGCTGTGGGGGTCAGGGGGCTCTTCTCGGCCTAAGCCGCATCCTGGTGCCCGTCTTCCCCGCAGAGAACAGCAGTAGTGAGTACATGCAGGTCCTCCCCTGAGACGGCACAGCTAGGGGGACCCCTGGCCGGCCCCGGCCCAGGACACTGCATGTGGGGAGTGAAGCTGCCCCGAGCACCCATCACCCCTGGAAACTGTCAGCACCCAGGAAGACGCACTTGGCAACAGGCTCGGCCACCCGGGCATTCTCTCGGCTCCAAGACCCGGCAGCTAATGGAGGGGTTGGGTTGGGGCAGGGGGGTCTCCCTGCGAGCCAGGCTGTGTCATGGAGCTCAGGGGCCTGGGACCACCTAGGCTGGTCTTGGTGGAGACCCTGGGGGGCCCCTCTCCTCAGCCCTGGCAACCACCCTCCCCCCCAGCCAACTGCCCCCCCAACCCAGGGCCATGAAATCCCCCTGGCCGCCTGCCCCGTTGCAGAAATGAGGGTCTGCACGAAGCCCACTTTGCACAAGCTGTCGAGCCCTGCTGGGGCCATGCCCACCCACGCGCCCGGGTGTTATTTCTCTTCCTGTTCTCCTGCCTGGTGGCCAACGTCCCATCCACTTCCCCGGGAGGCCTGAGAACCCGCCGTGCCCAGCCACCGTGCTGAGACCCGCCTGGTGGCCCCACGTGAAACCATCTGGGGGACCCCAGTGCTCTGTGGTGACTGCCGAGAGGCCACGATAAATGCAGTGAATGGGTGGGCCACGGGGGTCCGGGCAACCGAGCCCCCAATGCTTGCCTGCTCTGGGGGTCACCCCTACCCCCCCACCCCGCACACATGTGTATGGACCAGTGTTTTCTGCATCACCTTGGCACCAAACTACGCTCAGTGGCCGCTTCTGGGCTCAGTGGAGTGACTCTGCGTGTGTCAGAAGACCATCGGGCCAGACCATCGGTTCTAGAACTTTCCACGCTGACTCAGACACGGGACTTCTTGGGACCTGGCGCCCATTTCTCGGCCAGTGCAAGCTGAAGAGGGAGCGGGAGGAGGGGCTGGACACTTGGGGGCTCAGCGGGCAGCTGCCCTGCCAGGATGGCACGTGTCCCCCCAGCCCGCCTGGGCCAACCCAGAGGGAGAACAGAGATGCACCCTGGGACCCCCTTCCTCTCCTCTTCACCCCCTACATGCCTGCGTGCTCAGTCCATGCGCTTGATCCCGAGTCCACACCTCACGCCAGTGGACAGTGGCTCCTGTCCCCCACCCCGACCCAGACCTGTGCTCGAGTGACCCCTGGCAGTGGTCTGTGGACCCCAGTGTTCCATTATTATTTTTATTTTTATTATTATGGGGGGAGCCACACCCGGCAGTGCTCAGGGCTGACTCCTGGCTCTGCACTGCTGGTGGACTCAGGGGACCCTATGGGGTGCCGGGGGTCCGACCCGGGTTGAAAACCTGCAAGGCAAGCGCCCTCCCCGCTGTGCTGTCCCTCCGGCCTTTTTTCTAGACCTTAAATCTTGAGGAAACACCCTCCCCTCACACACACACACACACACACACACACACACACACCACCAAAAAAACCTTTCCTATGTTCTCCTGTTGGAATGCAGTTACAAAACGTCCCCTCCTTTTCATTTTTTTTTTTTAATTTCATGTACTTGTCCAATGCTCTCAGGAAAATAATAAGCGTCCAGAAATTGGAGCCAAGGCGTTGCTTTTTTGGTTTTTGGGTGTTTTTTTTTGGGGGGGGGGGTTGTTTTTTTCTTCTTTTTGGGCAATTGCCCCTTGCGGAAACGAGGGTGCAGTGGCGAGGACCGGCCACCAGAGGCCACCAGAGGCCAGACGCGGCTGGGTCGGGCCTGTCACTGCTGTGACCAAGAATCTCCGGGGAACCAGGCCCGCCGCGTGCACGCACGCACGGCTGCACAATTGCACACTTGGCAAGCACGCACTTGCACGCCCCTTTGCACACTCGCCCTTTTGCATACTTGCACGCACGCTGTTTCAGGGGCACTGCAGCCGCCCTGGTGGGCTCCGTCTCTCCTACTGGGGGGCGGCAAGCTGGCCAGGGGGCTCCTGGCAAGTGGACACCCCAAACCTCTGCTGCACCTTGTTCCCAAAGGCCAGGGCCAGGCGCCCACCCGAGGCCTTCAGGGGTCAGCTCAGGGGTGCCTGGTCCCGGGGGCTTGGACCTACCTGGCTAAGGTTCTCCGCGGTCGCATCTGGGCCCCAGGGGGATGCAGCCTCGTGCCGGGCGGCCCGTGCTGGGGGTGGACGCAGCCCACCAGGCCCAGTGTGCATCAGACCTGGGAGCGCCAGGACTGACCGGAAGTAGCAGCGGGAGGCGGGGCTGCGTGGGCAGTAAAATTCCCTATTCGGGGTGGGGGGCTTCCCTGGGCCTCTGGGGCTGGGTCCTTCCAAGGGACACGCTGGCCGCCCCCCTGCCCCCACCGCCGGGGTCCCTGGACATGGTGCGGATGGCGGTGACAGCTGGGGCTGAGTCCACCACAAAGAAGACTTGTCTTGGCGGCCGGGCCGGGGCCAGCGCCCAGGAATTTTCTCATTAACTGGAGGCTGCTGGGGGGCGTGCAAAGCCGCGGGGGGCGCGGAGGGGCAGCTCGCGGGGGGTCTGGGGGCGCAGCCAAGGACCTCCCGGGGGTCCCCAGGGGCCCCGGACAGCCGAGACACCAGCAAGGCCCAACGTGCTTTTATTGCCGGGACGCCACGAAAAAATATAAATAGAAAAACCCGCACAAGCACCTGGACCCGCCGGGCCGCGACCCTCGGGACCAAAGCTCGGGGCCGGGCGGGCGGCTGAAGGTTCTGGAAGCACAACGGGGGCCCGAGATCACGCAAGGCCACAGTGCACGTGCCTGTCCGTGCACGCGTAAGGCCAGGGGGTTCCCAGAAACCAGGGCAAGGTCCGGTCCCACGCGGGCCGGCGGAGGTAATCGGGGTCCCGAGGGAGGATGGGCAGGAGAGGGGGTGGGTCTAAACAGCTGGAATGTGGGGGCGCCAGGCGCCGTGTACCCCCAGCGAACCTGGGGGCAGCGAGGCAGATGGGCATTGAAGGGCGGAGAGCACAGCTCGTGCAGGGACCTCATTGGGCGGAGCCTGTCCTGGGACCTCATGGGGCGGGGCCCAACGAGCCTGTCCTGGGACCTCATAGGGCGGAGCCTGTCCTGAAACCTCATGCGGCTGGGCCTGAGCACAGCCTATCCCGGGACCTCATGGGGCGGGGCCTGAGCAAGCCTTCTCCCCAGACCTCACAGGGCGGAGCCTATCGCGGGACCTCATGGGGCGGGGCCTGAGGAAGCTTTTTTTCCCCAGACCTCATAGGGCGGAGCCCGTCCTGGAACCTCATGGGGCGAGCACAGCTGATCCTGGGACCTCACGGGGCGGGGCCTGAACAAGCCTTTTCCCCAGACCTCACAGGGCTAAGCCTATCCCGGGACCTCATAGGGCGGGGCCTGAGCAAGCATTTCCCCCCCTACCTCATAGGGCGGAGCCTGTCTCAGGACCTCATGGGGCGGGGCCTGAGGAAGATTTTTTTCCCCCAGACCTCATAGGGCGGAGCCCGTCCTGGAACCTCATGGGGCGAGCACAGCCGATCCTGGGACCTCACGGGGCGGGGCCTGATCAAGCCTTTTCCCCAGACCTCACAGGGCGGAGCCTATTGTGGGACCTCATGGGGAGGGGCCTGAACAAGCCTTTTCCCCAGACCACACAGGGCTAAGCCTATCCCGGGACCTCATAGGGCGGGGCCTGAGCAAGCATTTCCCCCTACCTCATAGGGCGGAGCCTGTCTCAGGACCTCATGGGGCGGGGCCTGAGTGTCCGCCCCAGGAGCAGTGGCTCTCCACGATCCAGTTCTGGGGGGGGGGGGGTCTAGTCCCGACTGCACACGGCACGGGATGGCACCCCCTCCCATCCCTGGGGACCCCGAGCAGACCCTCCTGGGCTTCCATCTGGTCAGACAGGGCTCCTGGGGGCTCAGGTCACCTCCCACCCCAGAAGGCAGAAGCTGGGGGACAGGGGTGGGCTGGTTTAGGGGGGGCTTTCTGGGGTGTCCCCGTCATCAAGCCAATCTGTCCTGCAGCCTGGTCCCCAGCGGGACCTGCTGGCTGTCCGGGAGAGGCTGGGGTGTGAGGGACATGGCCGAGAGGGGCCTGCAGACTCCGTCCTCATGCCCAGCCCACACTCTGGGGACAGGGCTGAGCTCACACCACAGGGGCGCAGGGCCGACCCCCAGCCCTCCCACAGACGCCCGCGGTGAGGGTGAGGAGAGAGTGCAGGGGTGGAGCCAGGAGGGCGCAGGGGTGAAGCCAGGAGGGTGCAGGGGCGAAGCCAGGAGGGTGCAGGGGCGAAGCCAGGAGGGTGCAGGGGTGGAGCCAGGAGGGCACAGGGGCAGAGCTAGCAGAGGGCAGGGGTGGAGTGAGGAGGAAGAAGGAGAAGCAGAGGCAGAGGAGAGGGTGCAGAGGCAGAGTGAGGAGGGTGCAGGGGTGGAGCGAGGAGAGGGCGCAGGGGTGGAGCCAGGAGGGTGCAGGGGTGGAGCTAGCAGGGCGCGGGGTGGAGGGAGGAGGGAGGAGAGGGTGCAGGGGCAGGGCGAGGGGGGGCGACCCCATTCTCCCACAGACACGGTCCCCGCGGGGAGGGCGCGGGGCTACTCGAAGGCCAGCAGGTCTGGGTGCGGCGCCTCCGGGTCCAGGCTGGGGGTCCGCGCCCGAGGGGACCCGGGGGCGCCCAGGCTGTCTCTGCGGGGGTCCCCGGCGGCGGGGGGCGCGTCCTGGCCGTCCTGGTGCAGCAGGTCGGGCACGTCCCCGTTGGGCACCGCGGGGTCCCTGTCCGGGCCGTCCGCGGGGGCGGGCGGGGGGTCCGGGGGCCGCCCCGGGGACAGCTCGAGGTCCCCGTCCAGGCCGCTGAGCACAGGCTGTGAGGAGATGAGCATGTCCTGGGGGGTCTTCAGGGCCCTCGAGACCCGCTTCCTGGGGGCAGCGGGCGGCGGCTCCAGCCGGGGAAAGGCCTCCGGGGCGGCCAGGCTGCGGGCAGAGGCAACGGACGCGGCTGACCCCCGCTGACCTTGAACCCTGACCCCTCCCTCCCCGCGCCAGGGGAAGGGATGGGGGCACCGGGAGGTGCTGTGGACACTCACCCCTGCTCGTCCTCCTTCTCGGACACAGTGTCCTCGGCTCGGGCCGGCTGGGCGCCGGTGGGTGCGTTGACCTCCGTGGCCCCCGGCCCCCCGGGCTCCTTCCTCCGCAGGAGGTCGTTCACCTTGGCCCCCACGGCGCGGCCCAGGTTCCGGAGGTGCTGGCCGCTGCCCCCCCCACAGCCCGGGCCCGGCGGGCTCAGGGGGGCCCAGGGAGGCGGCGCGGGGGGCCTGGGGCCTGGACAGCACCGGGACGGAGCGGCTGGCCGGCAGCTTGGGCGTGAGCGCCGCGTTCAGGTTCTGGAACATGCCGTGGTCAACTGGGGACAAGGGGGAAAGACAGTGGGCGGAGGGCAGAGGGCAGGAACATTCCAGAACCTCCCACCTTCCGAGTCCGAGTTCTGAGCAGGTGCTTTCCGTCCGGACAGGACAAGGGTGGGGCGGGGTAGCCCCGGGTGCCCACGTTGGCACAGACACAGGGGCAGAAGCTGCGGAGGGGAGCTGGCGGCCCCCAGGACCCAGACCCCTGAGTTCTCACGCCCCCGAGGACCTCGGCTCTGCCTGAGGAGGAGGAGGAGGAGGAAGGCCCGGGCAGGAGTGGGGAGGACTCGGGGGTCTTCCCAGAGTGGGCTCAGAGCCCAGCTCTGCCCTGCCTGAGGCGCTCCCGGGTGGGGTGGCTCAGGCTGGGTGCCCGGGGATCCCGACACCCACAGGACAGGGCTCAGGTCCTGCCAAGAGGCCTCTCCCTGAACTCACTTCTCAGGGCCTGCCCTGTCTGAACTCCCTTGAGCCCCACCAGGAGTAAGCTCTGAGCACTGAGCCAGGAGTGGTCCCTGAGCACTGAGCCAGGAGTCAGCCCTGAGCACAGAGCCAGAAGTCAGCCCTGAGCCGGGAGTGATCTCAGAGCACTGGGCCAGGAGTCAGCACTGAGCAAAGCCAGGAGAGAGCCCTGAGCCAGGAGTGATCTCCGAGCACTGAGCCAGGAGTGAGCCCTGAGCACTGAGCTAGGAGTCAGCCCTGAGCACAGAGCCAGGAGTGATCCCCAAGCACTGAGCCAGGAGTCAGCCCTGAGCACAGAACCAAGAGTCATCCCTGAGCACTGCCGGGAGTCATCCCTGAGCACTGCCACGAGTCAGCCCTGAGCACAGAGCCAGAAGTGAGCCCTGAGCACTGAGGCAGGACTCAGCCCTGAGCACAGATTGAAGAGTCAGCCCTGAGTATCCCCAGGTATGGGTTTGCTGCCGGGGACCGAATCCTGGTCGGCCTTGTCCGAGCTGAGCACCTTGTCACCCGTCCGCTGTGCTCTCGGGGGCCCACAGTGACCCCTGGGCTCCAGTCCCGAGTACAGCGGAGCAGACGTGGCCACTCACCCTGCCTTGTCCAGCGGTTTCCTGGACAGACTTAAAGCCACGGAGCCACGGCCCCAGCCCACAGGACCAACACTCCCGGGTGGTCCTGCAGGGCCAGGCGCCCCCGTCGGCTGGGGACCCTGAGGCCCCTCCCGAGGCGGCGTCCCCGCCCCTGCATGCAGCCGGCGCTGGGGGTCTTACCTGAGCTCGAAGGGGCTCGCAGCAGGAGGGAAGAGAGAGAGCGTTTACACACTGCCCGACGCCCACACCCACCCCGGGGCAGTGGGAGGCCGCTGAGGTCTGAGGTCAGGGCCCCGCCGAGCCCTACCCGGGGTGGGGGGCAGGGCAGGGGTCCCTGTCCCTCGGGGAGCGACGGTCCCCTAAGCATTTCTCACCCCACACCGTCTCGGCCGGGAGCCCCAGATCTACAGCCGACGGCGTCCATGCAGACCCCCCCACCCGCCCCGTCCAGGTCAACATGCCGGGAGAGCCAGACACAGGGGGGACACGCAACTCCACGTCCAGGGGGCTGCCCCAGCCAGGGGAACAACAGACAAGTGGCCACTCATGCGTGGGACCCCACGCCCAGCTGGGGTGCCCCAGGATGCACTGCCCGGGGTACCACAGTTCCCTGTGCACCGCCCACCTGCCCCGTGTGCAAGGGCCCGGAGCCGAGGGGACACATGCTGGCCCCCGTTGGGGAGGCCCCCGTCGGAATCCCTAGCCCCGTGTCCAGGCGAGAGGTGCCCAGGTGACCCCGGGGACAGGCCCCGTCCGGCCCCGTTCGTAACCCTTCCAGAGGGTCATGTGGCCGGTCCGTCGGGATGGGGGGAAGCCGCCCCTGGCCCTGAGTCCAGCATCCCAGCAGAGGGTCAGCACCGGGCGCACCCCCTGGGCCCCGTGGGCAGGAAGCGTGCCCCAGAGGGTCCAGGACTTACCTTCCGAGTGGACGGAGCTAGCGTGGCGACAGAGCAGAGAGGGAGGCGGAGAAGCCAGCACAGAAAGTCAGAGGTGGGCACTGCGGGGGGCAGGGCTGGGGGCTGCGGGCACCGGGCAAGCTCCAGGCCCCCGGCTCGGCCCCCAGCCCCTCTGGCCGAGGGTCACCCTGAGCGGCCACCACCAGGCACCCCCGTGGCCCACGGGCCCAGCCAGAAAGCCGACAGCAGAGAAAGAGCGGGTGTGGGGTCTGCATACAACCCGTCCAGGTCCTGGCGACCCTGTGTGCCCCAGAGTCCTTCCAAGGCCAGGCCAGTGCTCGGAGCCCCGTCTGGAACCCGCCATGCTCGGGGCACCCCCGCACGGGACAAACGTCCCCCTGAATCCGGGACCGGAAAGAGAAGTGGACGGAGGATCAGATTTGCAGAGAGCGGAGCAGGAGGAAAAAAAAAAAAGCAAAAACTTGGGGCTGGAGTGATAGCACAGCGGGGAGGGCGTTTGCCTTGCACGCGGCCGACCCGGGTTCGATTCCCAGCATCCCATGGGGTCCCCTGAGCACCGCCAGGAGCGATTCCTGAGTGCAGAGCCAGGAGTAATCCCTATACATCGCCAGGTGTGAACCCCCAAAAAAAAGCAGAAAAAAAAAAAAAAAGAAAAGCAAACAGGGTCGGATCTATAGCACAGTGGGGAGGGCGTTGGCCTTGCACACGGCTGACCCAGGTTCGATCCCCGGCATCCCGTAGGGTCCCCCCAACCCGGCTCCCGCCCCGAGCCTGCCGGAAGTCAGTCCTGAGCATCGCCGGGTGTGAACCCCCCCCGAACAAAAAAAGCGGGCAGGGGAGACAGCAGTGAGGACCGGGGGTCTGCACCGGCCGGGCGGCTGGAACCGCGCTGTCTTGTGATGTCAGCTGGACACAGAATGCCCATCGACGCGGCAACGCAGGGGCTGGTGGGAGCCAGGGCGTGATGCCAGGCATGGAAGAATTCTCTCTCCTCAGCATCTCGGGCCCACGGCTCTCCCCGTCCCTGAGCACCCTCCAGGACGCCACGTCCTCCCCCCCCACCAGCCTGCCAGGTACGGGCCAGAGTGGGGGACGGGGGTGGGTCCCCGCGGTGCCGCGGCTGGCCCCTGGCTGAGAACCGCGTCTCCCCGGTCTCCGCAGGCCCCGCCGAGCCGGGCCAGCCGGGAGAGAAAATGTTTTCCAAGCGACACCCGGGTAAGCGGCCCCTCTCCCCTCCGGAGCCGAGTGGCGACCCCCAGCGGGTGGGTGCCGGACGCCCACGGTGGGGGGTGAAGGGGTGCTGGGTTGTGGTTTCTTCTCTGCAAAGGGGCAACGGGCCGTGTTGGCGGGGCTCCCATGTGGGGAGCTGTGGGTGCTCCCGGGAGGAGCACTCGGGGAGCACGGGGAGCAAGGCGAGGGTTCGCCCACCCCTGCCCATCACAGCGCCCCGGGTGGGCCCCCTGAACCCCAGGAAGGCAGGGGGCTACTCCACACCCCATGCCCAGCCCCACTGGGGGGCAAAGGGGCGTGCCGGGATGAATTGGCCCTTGGGGGTCAGGGGTGTTTGCATCACGGATACTGGTTCCTGGGGGGTCACGGGCAGAGCTTGGGGGTCCCCCAGTTTCTGTGTCACAGCAATGGGCACCCCGCGCTGAGCTGCGCCCAGGCGGGTGGCCTCAGTGGTCCCAGCTCTGGTGGCGCCTTGGAGCCTGGGGATGGATGTGGGGGTCCCCCGACAGCATCTGGCCAACCTGGACGACTGTCCCCTGGCCCAGACAATGCTCAGACGGGGGCCACCGCGGAGCTGGCCGGCCCCGCGCAGGCCCTGGCGGCCCAGGCCCACGGCAGCCTCACCCGCCACGGCGTGGACACTCCGACGCTGACCCCAGGTGAGGCCCCGCCTGCGGTGCTGCCCACGCTGACCGCTGGCCTCTCTCGGAGGCCGGCCGAGCCAAGGGCTGGGCTGGAGCCGCCTTGGGGGTGCGGGTGGGGGTCTCTGGTCCCGCCCGCCCGGCTGAGCCCCCGTCCCTTTGCAGACCAGCGGCCCCTGGACACGGGCGAGCCCCCCCGACGTCGGTGCAGTGTCTACCGGCCCTGGTTCTCGCCTTATAGCTACTTCGTGTGCGCCGACCGGGGCAGCCGGCTGGAGGCCTCGGGCTTCCGCGAGGCCCCCTGGGACGAGGGCCGGGGGGACGGCTGGCCGGCCGAGGACGCGGGGGCCGAGAGCCTGGGCTCGTCCTCGTCCTCCCCGGAGCACGCCGGGGCCCCGCGCGGCCGTGCCCGGCCCGAGAGCGTCACCTCGCGGGACATCCTGGCCGCCTGCCGTGGGCAGCTGGTACAACAGAGCGGCTACAAGTGCGCGGCCTGCTGCCGCCTTTACCCGACCCTGCACTCGCTCAAGAGCCACATCCGCAGCGGTGCCCGCGAGGGCTTCAGCTGCAGTGTCTACTACCGCAAGCTCAAGGCACTGTGGGGCGGCCAGAGGGCGCGGCCGGGCGCCGGTGGCCAGCCCTGCTCCTAGCCAGCCCCTCTGTCTCTAGAGAAAGCTCAATAAATGCCCTTGGTCTCGAACCCGCCTCCCGGGGGGTCCCAGAGGAGGAGGAGGGGGGCAGCTGGGAGCTGAGGTTGGTTGGACAGTGCCTCCAACTCACACCCACGACATCCCCCCAGACACAGTTCCCAGCACCAACCAGGATAGTGGCGCGGGGGGAGGGCACACAAAAGAACCTTCTGGAGGGTCTGGAGCCATAGCACAGCTGGGAGGGCATTGGCCTTGCACACGGCCGACCTGGGTTCGATTCCCAGCATCCCATAGGGTCCCCTGAGCACCGCCAGGTGTGATTCCTGAGTGCATGAGCCAAGAGGAACCCCTGAGTCTGAGCATCGCTGGGTGTGACGCCAAAAAAATCAAATAAAAAAGAAAAAAAAGAACCTTCTGGAAGCTTTCCCCCCAGCGAGACGCTCCTCCCCTCCCCCAGACCTGAAGTCACTGTGTCCCCCATGCTCAGCCCCTCCGGGAGACACAGAAACTGCAGACAAACGCTTCCCAATCTCCGGTCTGTCGGAGGAGAAATCACGAATCCAGGGGGTCCTGGCAAGGAGATGCTGGGGGTGGGGGCTGCCACCTGCACGGAGGGGGGAGGGGAGGGGCCCCGCGGAAACCCCAAGGGTCTGGGGACAGTGAGACCCCCCTCCCCCAGGGAGGAACGAAAGTGACACCCCAGAGGGCAGAGACGGGACGGGCCGAGCCTGAGGGCTCAGAGAACCCAGCACCCCTCGCAGCAGCCGCCGAGATCACCCCAAAACGACCCCCCGTGGCCCCCGACGGCCGGGCGAGGGCGGGAGCAGGAGAGACGGAGCGAGAGGCCAGCACCGTTGCGGAAGGAGTTTATTACTGAGCAAAGCGGCCGCCTCCGGCTAAGGGCACTTAGGAACCGGGGAGGGAGGGGAGGTAGCAGGCCAGGGCCCAAGCAAGAGCAGAGAGAAGCAGCGGGAGGGGCAGGGTCCGAGCTGGGCCCAGAGCGTGGAAGGAGGCGGGGGCCGAGAGCAGAGGGACAGTCGGGGCCTGGACGGTCGCTCTTTCCTGCCTGCGGGGCCCGGTCACCCTGTCCACCCCCCGGGTCCCCGGTCTCAGTCACTGTGTCATCCCCTGGGTCGCGGTCACCATGTCCAGCCCCTGGGTCTGGTCACTGTATCATTCCCCAGGACCCAGTCATCATGTCCAGTCCCTGGGTCCCGGTCACCACTGGGTCCTGGTCATCATGTCCGTTTCCTGGTCTCAGTCACTGTGTTCATCCCCTGGGTCGCAGTCACCGCGTCCAGCCCCTGGGTCTGGTCACTGTATCATTCCCCAGGTCCCGGTCACCATGTCTATCCCTCAGATTCTGGTCACCATGTCCAGCTCCCCAAGTCCCAGTCATCATGTCCTGCACCTGGGTCTTGGTCACCACTGGGTCCTGGTCACCATGTCCAACCCTCAGGTCCTGGTCACCATGTCCATTTCCTGGTCTCAGTCACTGTGTCCAGCCCCTGGGTCTGGTCACTGTATCATTCCCCAGGTCCTGGTCACCATGTCTATCCCTCAGATTCTGGTCACCATGTCCAGCTCCCCAAGTCCCAGTCACCATGTCCACCTCCCGGGTCCTGGTCACCATGTCCATTTCCTGGTCTCAGTCACTGTGTCTATTCCCTGGGTCCCAGTCACTCTGTCCATTCCCTGGGTCCCGATCATCCTGTCCACCTCCCGGGTCCCGGTCATCATGCCCATGCCTTGGTCTCAGTCACTGTGTCCATTCCCCAGGTCCTGGTCACCATATCCATCCCTCGAATTCTGGTCACCATGTCCAGCTCCCCAAGTCCCAGTCATCATGTCCAGTCCCTGAGTCCTGGTCACCACTGGGTCCTGGCCACTGTCCATGCCCTGGGTCCCACCAGCAGTCCCCGGAGGCGGCCAGTCCCCTCCGCCTGTCCCCTTTGCAGCCCCCCAGTCCTTGACACCGTCATCCCACAGAGTCCGCTGACTCTGGACACCCCCGGGCAGCAGCCGGGCCCCCAGACCCTGACCCCGACCCTGCCAGGCACCACAGGGGCAACCCGTGTGAGGGACACGCGGGCCGGCTCCCCACACCACACCCGCGCCGGGAGGGCCGTTTCTCATGGCTGGGCCCCCCCGGCCCCCCGACTTAGGGCACAACACCCCCCCCACACGCTGGGGTGGGGGACAAGGCCACGACCGGCTGCTGACTTGACAGCACATTTCCAGCAGTTCCCTACATGCATACGCACATACGAGTGCAGACACGCACACACGCTCCCACACGCATGTGCACACAGGTACGCGAGTGTCATCACGCGTGCACACGCGAGCACACACGTGCACAGAGAGATACAGAAACACACACAGACACAGATACGGACACACACAGACACACAGACACACACAGACACACACTCGTCTCCAGGCGCCAGAGAGCTGGGCCCCTTCCCCTCTGAACATCTCCGGCTCAGAAAGCAAAGCTGGGGTCCCCGGGGGCAGCCCCACTGCCCCTCACAGGCACGGCTCGGGCATCCGGGTCCCTCATCGCCCTCCGAGTCCAGCAAAACGCCCCGCGGTCAGTTCCGGGGCAGACGACGATGGCTGGGCACCTATAGAGCCCTCAAGGAGGGTCAGCGTCCCACCCTGGGCAGCGGCCGGGCCAGTGCAGGTAGGGGGGTGTGGGTCTGAGTCATCCAGGGCCACCAGACGGGCAGTGCTCTCCTGTCCGGCGAGTCCAGCACGGAGCCCTGGCCCTGAGCCGCCCGGCCGAGCCCCACCCGGCACTCTGGGTCCGAAAAGGCGGCCCCCTGGCAGCGCCTGAGACCACCAGGGACACGAGCGAGTCACCCCCGGGCACGGCCAGTGGGGGCAGCAGGTCCTTCAGCCAGGAGGCCCCGAGGGACCCTGTCCCCTGCCCCGCCGCCGCAGGGGCCCCCTGGGATCCCTTCACCCGTCACTCGGCCGTCCACAGTGGGCGTCCACCCACTGTCCAGGCCCGCCTGCCCGCCGCTGCCCGCTGCCCGGCCGCCCCTACACGGCCACCTCGTCGTCCAGGCCGTCGCCCAGCTCCTGGCGGGGCAGCACGTGCAGCAGGCGGGGCAGCCCGGCGGGCGACCAGCTGTCCGGCTCCTCGCTCTCCTCCGTGGTGGACCCGTCCTCGTACTCCGAGGCGATGCCCGACTCGCGGAACCTGAAGAGCTCCAGGCCGCCGGGCAGCGGGGCCCGGGGGTCGTCGGGGTCGTCGCGGGCGCGCGGGAAGCGGAAACACTCGAGCCGCACCCAGCGCGCGCGCCTACCTAGCGGGCTGCCCGGCGGCGGGTCCAGGCCGGCGCCCGGCGGGGGCGAGGGCAGCTCCTCGGGCTTGGGCGTGGCGCGGTCGCAGAGCACCGGGAGGCCGCCCGGCCGGAAGGTGATCTCCAGGAGGCTGTCCTGCGAGCCCGCTGCGGGGGACAAGGCGGTCAGGCGCGGGCGGCCCGGGAGGCGGCCACCCCCACCGCCCCCACGCCGAGTGGGCAGGTGGACCCGGGTGGGCGGGGCCGGGCTCTGGGTGGGCGGGGCCGGGTCTGGGTGGGCGGGGCAAGGGCTCTGGGTGGGCGGGGCCGGGTCTGGGTGGGCGGGGCCGGGTCTGGGTGGGCGGGGCCGGGTCTGGGTGGGCGGGGCCGGGGTCTGGGTGGGTGTGGCAAGGGCTCTGGGTGGGCGGGGCCGGGTCTGGGTGGGCGGGGCCGAGGTCTGGGTGGGTGTGGCAAGGGCTCTGGGTGGGCGGGGCCGGGTCTGGGTGGGTGTGGCAAGGGCTCTGGGTGGGCGGGGCAGGGGTCTGAGTGGGCGGGGCCGGGGTCTGAGTGGGCGGGGCCGGGTCTGGGTGGGCGGGGCCGAGGTCTGGGGGGGGAATCGACACCCGCGTGCGCACGCGCGCTGCTTACTGGCGCTCCGGCCGGCCACCTTCAGCTCCAGCTCCTGCACCTGGCGCACCAGCACCGCGATGTGCTGCAGCAGGTCCTTGTTCTGCAGCAGCAGCTGGTGCACGCGCGCCTGCGCCTCCAGCCGCGCCGCCGCCTCCGCCGCCAGCTGGTCCTTCAGCAGGTGCACCTGTGGGGAGCACGGGGAGTGTCGGGAGCACCTCGGGGGAGCACGGGGAGTGTCGGGAGCACCTCGGGGGAGCACGGGGAGTGTCGGGAGCACCTCGGGGGAGCACGGGGGAGCACCTCGGGGGAGCATGGGGAGTGTCGGGAGCACCTCGGGGGAGCATGGGGAGTGTCGGGAGCACCTCCGAGGAGCACCTCGGGGGAGCACGGGGGAGTGTCGGGAGCACCTTGGGGGAACACGGGGGAGTGTCAGGAGCACCTCCGAGGAGCACCTCGGGGGAGCACGGGGGAGTGTCGGGAGCACCTCAGGGGAGCACGGGAGTGTCAGGAGCCCCTCAAGGGAGTACAGGGAGTGTTGGGAGCACCTCAGGGAGCATGAGAAGTGTTGGGGGGCCCCATGGGTATCGAGAGCACCTGTGGGGACCACAAAGAATATCGGGAACATCTCAGGGGAGCATGAAGGAGTGTCAGGAGCACCTCAGGGAGCACAGGGAATGTCGGGAGCACCTCGGGGGATCACGGGGAGTGTCAGGAGCACCTCGGGGAGCACAGGGAGTGCTGAGGGGGCCCACGGGTGTCGAGAGAATGTGGGGAGCACAGAGAGTATCGGGAGCATCCCGGGGCAGCACGAGATGAGGGAGTGTTGGGAGCACCTCAGGGGAGCACGGGGGAGTGGCAGGGAATGGGTGCCGGGGGCACTTGTGGGATTACAGGTGACTGTCGGGAGCACCTCGGGGAGCCTGGAGTGTTGGGAGCACCTGTAGGGAGCCCCCCCACCCGAGAGGCTCATGGATTTGGGGGCCTGGCCCAAGGCCACTGTGGACAGGGAGGTTCCCAAGGGTGACGCCGAGGCAGGAGTGAGGCCAGGCCCGGGAGTCTCCCCTCACTGGTCTGGGGTCAGGCGCTCTGTCCACCCGCCACCCAGCTGGGCTGGACCTGGACCCGCCTCCCTGTCTGGCCGGCAGGCGCCCCAAATCCTGGTCCTGGGCTTCGGGGTGGGCCCTAAGTTTCACCTGCATGGGAGCCCCTGAGCACGCGGCCCCTGGGGGCCCCTGTTCTGCCTACGAGCTGCAGTGGGAGGGTCTTTCCGACCGTGGACCCACACCCGAGCCCCCTCAAGCTGCCCCGACCCGTCCACCCTCCCTGCTGACCTGTTCTGGCCCGCCCCCTTCCTCCCGGACACACACCCCATCCTCATCCTCGCTCAGCTGCCGAGACTGGTGCTGGCTGAGGACCGACACTCAGTGAGTCCAGACTGGCCTGGGGGGTGGCCACAGGACACGCAGACACGCCAGCGGCTGCCCCCAGGGTGTCCCTGGCCTCGCCACCCCCAAAGCAGCACCGCCGCCCATGTGTACCCCCTGGCTCTGCCCCAGATGGGCCGTCCAGGCCCTGGACAGTGACCACTCCCCTGCTCTGGTCCAGCGGAGCTCTGGCACCTTGGGGGACACGATCTCAGGGCCCCCCCGTGGGACGCAGGCTGGGGCCGGGAGGTCCGCCCCGAGCCCAGCCCAGCCCTGCACGCACCCGGCCTCGGGACCCCCCACTCCGCGCCCAGCACCCACGCCGGCCACTTGCCTGCACTCAGCTCCACGGGAGAAGTCGGGCACGGCGGGCGGGGGCGTCAGGAGAGAACCAGAGCGAGTTGCCCCCCTCCCCCTCCACCGACAGCAGGGGGGGGCCAGGCACAGCGAGTGCACATGCGCCGGGCAACGGGAGGGGCTGGGGAGAACGGAGGGGGGGTGGGTGGAGGGAGGCGCGTCTCGAGGGTCTGCAGCGAAGCATCAAGGCCAGGAAGCGGCCACGGCCGACTCGGGGGGCTGCGACATTGTCACGGCCCCCCATGGCCCAGCTCAGCCTTGGGGCTCAGTCCTCACCGGGGTGGGGGGGCGCAGGCACCCTGGGGGGCCGAGTTCCGTAGCCCTTTGGGGGGAGGCCTGGGGTGGGTCTCTGGGAACGCCCCCTCCGAGGGGCCCCTCGGAGGTGGTCAGGGCCGCCTGGGTGTGGCTGGGGACCCTCTGCCCACTTCCACACACCCACCCCCAGGTTCTGGCGTCCAGCTGGCCTCCCCGCTGGGCTGCTGGGCCCGGAAGAGGGACCCGAGCCCTGGGGAGCCCCCAAAGTCGCCTCCTTGGGGGCATGTGACACTGGGGTCCGGAGGTGACTCCGGGGTCCGTCCTTCCCCTCCCCGACCCCGCCTGAGCCCGGAACCCCCTAACTGTGTCTGAGCCACGGCAGGCAGAGGGGGCCAGAGCGGGTGCCGGGAGTGAGGGGCCCCCTGGGAACAGGCAGGTCTCTGCCAAAAGCTTATTCTAGGGGCGCCAGGCCGGAAGTTCGAGCTCCAACACCGGCAAGGAAGGGCGGGCGGGCGCTGGGGGGACCCTGGAGCAACGTCCATCCCGGCGCTGCCCATCAGGACCCACGGGCAGAGGGATCAGGAGAAAAGGGGTCTTAGCAGTGGGGGCAGAAACGCAGGCACGTACGACCAGGTGGCTGGCACCTTCCTCACCCCAGACTCCCAAACCCCAGGGCCTTTGCACCTGCTTTGCGTCCAGCTTATGCAAACCAGCGGGCTCCCACTTGCTTGGAGTCACCAAAGCCGAGACGTGCCCCCACCCCAGTCACTTAACGCTTCCCCCGGTGCCCGCCGGCATGAGGCAGGCCTGGGGGGGACCCAGCGCACCCCAGTTTCAAGTCCCCACCTGCCGGGGCAGCGGAGTCACCGGCCCAGGCCCAGGGAGGGGCGGGAGGAGCGGCCCGGCCATTCTCCAGCCAAGCCAGCCATGCCCAGCGAGGACGGGCACTGCGTCCCACCGCCCAGGCGTCCGCCCCCACCCACCCCTGCGTGGCGGCGGTGGCGAGAGGGGGTCAGATCTGCCCGGAGCCGCGGGCCAGGGAGGGCGCGTCGGGGCCGTGCGGGGGCGGCCTGCGGACCAGGCGGGCGGTGGACAGGACCTGGGCCACGGCCACTTGTGTCTGCGTCTGCTGCTGCTTCAGGAGCTGTTGCAGGAGCTGCGTCTGGTGGTGGGCGGACAACGGGGTCCCCGGGGTCCCCGCCGGCGAGGGGGCGGCCACGGTGGGCAGCAGCAGCTGGGGGGACGCCGTGAGCACCGTCTCCTCGGGGGACGCCTGGCGGGGGAGGAGAGCCGTGAGCCGGGGAGCACGGGGAGCCCCCCGGGACCCCTAGGGTGGGCCTGGCTGTGCTTGGGTGGGGCGGGGACTCACGGGGCGGCTGAGGTCAGACCCGGTCCTGGGCAGGCGGGTGAGGACCCCAACCCCGGGAACTCGGGGTTTCTTTTTGGGGGGCAGGTCTGGGCCAGACCCAGTGGTACTTCCTGACTCCGCACTCAGGAATTACTCCTGGCGGTGCTCGGGGGACGCTCTGGGATGCTGGGAATCGAACCCGGGTCGGCTGTGAGCAGGGCAAACGCCTCTTTTTGTCCTTTCTGTTTCTTGGGTCACACCTGGCTGTGTTCAGGGAGCACTCCTGGCTCTGCACTCAGGGATCACTCCTGGCGGTGCTCGGGGGACCCTCTGGGATGCTGGGAATCGAACCCGGGTCGGCCGCGTGCAAGGCCAACGCCCTCCCCACTGGGCTATGGCTCCGGCCCCCACACTAGCACCTGGACCCCTTTGCTGTCTCTTCAGCTCCTGACACAGGTCACACGGGAACTGAGATCCCAGGAGCTGGCGCGTCTCTCGGGGACCACGGGGGATAGAGCCCCCCATATGGGCCCCGGCAAGAAAAATCAAGAAGGGGGAGGTGGGGTGAAGGGGACCCTGTTTGGGGGGACGAACAGCCACGCCCAGACCCCCCACCCCCGCCGGCAGAGGCCGCCGGAAGCCGCCCCCACCTTGGTGTCAGGGGTGGGGCCCTCGGTGGTCACCGCGTCCAGGTCCGTGACGCCCCGGCTGAAGCCCATCACGTCCCGGCCGGGGCCGGGGCCATCCACAGCGTCGATGTCCGTTTCCTCGGCGGCGGCCGGGCAGGTCCGCTCGGCCCCGGTGAGCTGGCGGCCTGCGGGGACAGACGCGGGAGGGGACGGTGGCCCCCGAGTCCTCCTGTGTCCATCCACGGGTGGCAGGAGGACACGGAGGGTGTCTCAGGACTCCCTTGGCGTGCAGGGGTGCGGCGGGCGGGCGTCCCCGCGTTTCCGAAGAGCCAGAGAGCCACGGACATGGCGAACGAAACTCCCCGCGTCCCCCGGTGACCCGTCCCCCGGCACCCACCGGTGTCCCCGGAGCTGCTACTGGGTGGCTCGCTGTCCCCGTCCTCCTGGCCGTCGGCGGTCAGCTGCGTATGCTGCAGGCTCAGCTTGTGGCAGACCTCGAAGGCTTGGCCCACCGTCCGCACGATGCGCATGGCCTGGCTCTGCCGGGGTCAGGGGTCGCCCTGGTGAGGGACGGGGCCCCGGACCCCCCAACCGACCACAGGGCCCAGCAGCTAAGTAGCCGGCTCCTTGGCCGGCGGCCCTGCCCACCCCACGGGGCCCCAGGGCAGCTGGCAGAGGGGCCTTGAGGGGCAGTGAGGGGACATTCCGGCTTCTCACCCAGGTGTGCCCAGCACTGTCGGCGTGGGTTTGGGGGTGGGGACACAGGCCCAGCGCTGACCCCTCAGGACCCCCGGACCCGTGGACGGCAGAGTTCCACGCCTGGGCGACATGGAGCAGTTACACGTAGCAGGTGGCACGTAGCAGGTGGGGTCCTGCTGGCCACGCGTCTGCTCCGTCGTCCCCAGCAGCTGACCCCAAGGGCCCGGAGACCTCCCAAACGCCCCCGTGGACTGCCCGGAGAGCGATTCTCCTGCACCAGGCCGCACCCTGGGACCTTCCGGCAGCACTGGAGGCGAACCAGGAAGGCGGTGACCCCGCAGACACCGTCCACCCCCTCTGCCAGGCCGGCTTCCTCCCCCGAACAATGACCATGCCTCTGTGGCTGACCGCAGACTGACCCCACCGTGCAGAGGTCAGCGGGGCCAGCGCGGGCCCTGAGAGGTGACCCCCATCCCCCGGCCCGGGTCACAGGCACAGAGGGGGGGCGGGATGGGGCCCTGCAGAGCCTGGAAGCCCCTCCCTCCACTGGGCAGGGCTGAACGGGGGTGGGGGTAGGGTTCGGGGGGTGGGCGTGGGGTGGGTGCTGGAGCCCAGGTTTCCATCCGACCCCAGAGGCTCCCCAGGAAACTGCTCTGGGGCTGGAGCACCCTGAGGGACAGGCCAGCTGGGGGGCTCCAAGTGGCTCTCGGGGGGCTGGTGCCTCTCGGGGCTGGGAACCACCCTGGCCCACAGCCCCAGGAAGGGCGCCCCGGAAATGCGACCCCCCAGCTCCATTCCAGGCCTCTCGCCCACGAGTGTCCTTGACCCAACATCTCTGTGAACGGAGGTTGTGGGGAACAGGCCCGGCCCCCAAGAGGGGGGCCCAGTCTCCCAGCCGCTCCCCAAACCCACCCACGAGAGGGAGAGGTGGCAGAGGCAGGTGTGCAGGGTGGTTGGGGGGTGTACACGTGTACGTGGATGTATGTGCGTGTGGGGGGGTGTATACGCGAGTGCGGGTGCGTACATACGCACGGGTGTGTGTGCATGTGTGTACGTTGTGTGTGCATGTGCGGGTGTGTGTACATTGTGTGTGCATGTGCAGGTGTGTGTCCATGTGCGTATGTTGTGTGTGCATGTGCAGGTGTGTGTCCGTGTGTGTACGTTGTGTGTGCATGTGCAGGTGTGTGTATGGGTGTGTACGTTGTGTATGCACGTGCAGGTGTGTGTCCGTGTGTGTACGTTGTGTGTGCACGTGCAGGTGTGTGTCCATGTGTGTGCACATGTGGGCGTGTATGTGCATGTGCATGGGGTGTGCAGATGTAGTTATATGTATGTGCACATGTGTGTGTGTACTGTGTGTGGGTATATGCATGGCCTGTGTGGGTGCATTTATGTGCATAGGTGTGTGTACGTGTTTGTGAGTACATGTGTATACTGTGTGCACGTGTGTGGGTGTGCACATGTGTGTACTGTGTGCAGGTGTGTGTACATGTGTGTCTCGCTATATATGTGTGTGCATGTGTTTGAGTACGTGTGTGCATGTGTGCCAGTGTGCACACGTGTGTACTATGTGCAGGTGTGTGTACATGTGTGTGTCTGGGCATATATGTGTGTGCATATGGGTGTGTGCATGTGTGTGAGTACGTGTGTGTACTGTGTGTGCACATGTGCCATTGTGCACATGTGTGTTCTATATGCGAGTGTGTGTACATGTGTGTGTCTGGGCATATATGTTTGGGCATATGGGTGTGTGCATGTGTGTGAGTATATGTGTGTACTGTGTGTGCACGTGTGCGGGTCTGCACACGTGTGTACTATGTGCGGGTGTGTACATGTGTGTGTCTGGGTATAGATGTGTGGGCATATGGGTGTGTGCATGTGTGTGAGTACGTGTGTGTACTGTGTGTGCACGTGTGCCGTTGTGCACATGTGTGTTCTATATGCGGGTGTGTGTACATGTGTGTGTGTCTGGGCATATGGGTGTGTGCATGTGTGTGAGTATGTGTGTGTACTGTGTGTGCACGTGTGCGGGTGTGCACATGTATGTGTATGCGGGTATGTGTATAGTGCATGTGGATGTGGATGTGTGTGCACACGGGTATGCACGTGTGTATACTGTGTGTGCATGTGGGTGGGTGTGAATGTGTGTGTATACACGTGTGTGTGTGTGCACGCGAGCGGGTGCGGAAGTTTACCTTCTTCTTGGACTTGAAGACGTTGCAGCGGAAGGTGTTGCTGGCGCCGTCCCGGGCGATGTAGCTGAAGATCTTCAGGTCCTGCGAGTCGTGGGACACGTAGAAGATCCTGGGGGTGGGGGGGGGGGGGCGTCAGCTCCCGAGAAGGTGCCCACCGCGCCCCTGGGGGAGCCGAGCCGGGGGGACGCGGGCCTCGGGGCTCACCTGTAGATGGGGTCCTGCATCACCATCATCTTGCTCTCGTCCCACGTCCACTCCTTCTTCTGCAGGGAGGGGCCGCGCGTGACCAGACGGTTCCCCGCCCACCGGAACCTCAGGGCACCCTCAGGGCGTCTCCGGGACCCGCCGGCACCAGCCTGGCACCTCCAGAAGCCTCAGTGGTGCCCCCCACCCCGGGCCCCAGGCTGCTGACTGAGTTTCCCTCCCGCACTTGGTGGTGACCCCGGGCTCGGGGGCCCCCGGCAGCCCCCGACTGGTCTGGCAGGAGACTGTGTGGGCGAGGAGGGAGGGAGGAAGCCTGAGCTGGGTGTGGGGTCTGGCTCCTCTGCCCCCGGCACTGGACAGCCCTGTAAGCGCCGTGCTGGGCCCCCGTGGGAGTGTCCAGGGGCCTCCCGACCCAACCATCCCCAGTGGAGTGGCCACACCCACCACGTCCTACTCACGACCTTCCCACACAAAAGAGTCAGGACACAGCTGGCCCTGGCCCAAGGGCCACACACACACCACACTACGTCGTAACTGCATATCCCGGCAAACTACAGCGTAACTGCACACACCAGCACACTACAGTGCAACCGCGCACACACACCCCAGTACACTACAGCGTAACTGCACACATCAGCACACTACAGTGTAACTGCACACACACTTCAGCACACGATGGCATAACTTCACACTAGCCCAGAACACTACAGTGTAACTGTGCACACCAGCACACTACAGCGTAACTGGGCACACACACCACACTACAGCATAACTTCACACACTCATCACACGCAGCATAACTGCACACCCACTGCAGCTACAGTATAACCGTACATACATGCCACCATACTACAGCACAACACACACACACAACCACCACGTGACAGCGTAAGCACGTGTGCATATATACACACACTGCTGCTGGAGTAACAGTGCACACACACACACACACCACCACCATCACACTCTGAGTAACTGCACACACAAACATACCACCACAATCGGGCTAAATACACACATAGCCCCCACCACCACATTCCGGCTGAGTGCACACACACACACACACACACACACACACACACACACACACACCACCATCACACTCTGAGTAACTGCACACACAAACATACCACCACAATCAGGCTAAATACACACATACCCCCCACCACCACATTCCGGCTGAATGCACACACACACACACACACGCACACACACACACCACCACATTCTAGCTAGATGCATGCATCCATACACATGCAGACACACCCACACACCACCCTGGCCAACCAGCTGCGTCTGCCCGCACGGCCCCGACCAGTCCCGCCCGTCAGAGTCCTCGGGAGCCCTTCCAGCCTCGGTGCCCGGGGTCCCGCCAGGACGGGGCTATCAGAGGAACCCCAGGAAACGAGGCCCTTCGGAGAACAATCCTGTGGAGAAAGTTCCAGGCTAATCTGCTCGCCCAGGCACGGCCCTCCCGGCCAGCACGGCCGCTCTGTTAGAATAAACATCACTGCTGCCGGGAGCCGGGCCTGGCCTGTCTGGGCCCCTCTGCAGACCCCCCTGGGCCCCGCTGTTGACACACGCCGGCAGGAGGGGCTGGGGGGCTGCAGGGCTGGCACCGAGGGGCGGTCCCGGGGCACCTACGCCCCCGTTACCTTCTTCTTCTTCTTCAGGACCACCTTCACCCCGTCCACGGATACCATGATGCTCACTTTCTTCTTCTTGATGTTCTTGGCCTTGAACTCGTACTGTGGGTGGGGGAGGGGAGCAGACACAGGCACCCATCAGCGCCGCGGGGCCCCCAGCGATGTGAGGGGGGCTGCCAGCCGTGGGGGGCGGGGCAAGCGCCAGGGCGAGTGCTCATGGCAGGGTGCTCTGGCCCCCCGACCCATCAGGCCACGGCCCCTTTCTGCAGCGGATGAAGCTTGGGGTCACACCCAGTGATGCTTGGGGGGTGACGCCCAGCTCTGTGCTCAGGGGTCCTCTGTGGGATGGAACGGGGGGGGCGGGGGTCCCGCCTGCAAAGCCTGTGCTCGGCCCGCGGAGTTCAGCCACGACCGGTAGCAGTGGCCTCTTCTCCCACAGCCGGGACAGGTGCGGGGACAGGTGGGCATCTGAGCGCCAGGACAGCCCCGGGCACCTGGCAGCGGGGTGCAGGTGCTCTGGACAGTCGCCCGGGGACGGAGGAACTGGGGCACGGCGCCAGGCCAGGACGTCCACGCTGACCGGGGACACACCTGCTCTGCTTGCCTGCGGCCATGCAGGGCCGTCCCTGCTCCCTGGGCCCCCGCCAGAGGTCGGCTTCAGAGCCCGCTCAGGACACAGAACCCAGGCCCCAGCGGGCTCCGTCTCCGGGTTGGGGGGCACACGGGGGGTGCAGCTGGGCTCCTCTGCCGGGGTGGGGAGGCGGGAATGGGGCACAGGGAGGGAGCCCCAGTCTACACCGCAGCCTGTCACACGTTTCCCAGGGACGTTTCCCCAGGGGTCCGAGACGGGGTGATTCTGGGCTGGCTTCTGGTCCCAGTGTCCAGACACCTTCTACGTGGATGTTTTCCACGACCCTCCCCAATTCACTGACGTGACCCCCAGATTACAAAGTCAGGCTCTGCACCGGAGTCGGCTAAGGGAACTGCCTGACAGGTGAGAATCTGACTCCAGGGCCTGGAGCCCACATCCCCTGCACAGTCACCTGCACAGACGTGGGGGCGGGGCTTCTGGGAAAGGGGCGGGGCTCCCGGGGCGGGGCTCCAGGACGGGGGCGGGGCTCCGGGAAGGCGGGGTCTTAGAAGGATGGAGCTTCTGGTGGATGGAACCCCAAGATGGGGGTCCTGAGGACTGAGCTCCTGGTGGGCGGAGCTACTGAACAGAGGATAGGGAGCTTAGAAGACTGAATTCTCTGGGGGCGGGGCTACTGAACAGGGGGCGGGGCTCTGGGAGGGCGGAGATCCTGGTGGGCGGGGCTACTAACAGAGGGCGGGGCTCCGAGAGGGCCACAGCTCCTGGTGGGCGGAGCTACTAAACAGAGGGCGGGTCTCTGGGAGGGCAGAGATCCTGGTGGGCGGGGCTACTGATCAGGGGGCGGGGCTCTGGAAGGGCAGAGCTCCTGGTGGGCGGGGCTAATAACAGAGGGCGGGGCTCTGAGAGAACAGAGCTTCTGGTGGGCGGGGCTACTGAACTGGGGGCGGGGCTCTGGGAGAACTGAGCTTCTGGTGGGCGGGGCTACTGAACAGGGGGCGGGGCTCTGGGAGGGCAGAGATCCTGGTGGGCGGGGCTACTAACAGAGGGCGGGGCTCCGAGAGGGCCAAAGCTCCTGGTGGGCGGGGCTACTAAACAGGGGGCGGGGCTCTGGGAGGGCAGAGATCCTCGTGGGCGGTGCTAACAGAGGGCGGGGCTCTGGGAGAACAGAGCTTCTGGTGGGCGGGGCTCCCGGAGGCCCCTGGAGCCCCCTCCCACGCGTGGGGCCAGCCTCCCTGAGGTCCGATGGACCTGCTCTCCAGCAACGCTTCCCAGGGGTCTGACGCACTTGCAAAACGGAGCACAGGTTCTGACCTTGGCCTTCCTGGGAGCCCAGCTGGGCAAGCCGGATCACCTGGTTCTGTAGCTGGGGGCGAGGGTGAGCTCACGTGCAGGACCACTGATTAGGGCAGGGAGCAGAGGCGGAGGGACCAGCAGGGGCAGAGGGGTCGCAGCCCCCTTTCTAGCTGAGACCCCCAGACCCCCGACCCACCCTGCCTCTTCCTTTCAGCCTGTCGCCACGTTCTGGCCACTGCGAGAACACACCGCACAGATGACCGGGTCAGTGACGGTGGGCGGGTGGACAGCGGGGGCCTGAGGACCTCCCCTCTCCACGACTCAACCCCGGGGTTGACACCACTTTCCCGTGAGGGACGTCGGGGTTCTGGGCTCTGCAGAACAACACAGCCTGGGACCACACTCCAGTGATGCCTGGTGCGGGGGGTCACCCTGGGACCCCACCCCAGCAGGAAGAGACTGAGACCCCAAACAGTGACAGTGAGGGACAGGTGGCAGAGACCAGAAGCCGAACATGGACACTGGGCCGAGCTCCACGCGCTCCAGGGCGTGTCCACCGGGTCTGAGCCCGAGGCCCGATCCGGTGGCTCCGAAAAGCCTTGTCTGTCTGGGGAGTGAGTGGGCGGCCGGCTGGACAGGACACAAACCATCAGAGGCAAGGATTATGCCAGAAAAGAAAAAAAAAACTCATCAAAGGATCTGGAGGGAAAAACACGAAGACACGGCGAGGACACTCTCCTTGACCTGCTTCCGCCCAGCTCCTGGGCAGGGCACCAAGGCTGGCGGCCGGGGAAGGTGGCCGAGCCCTTGGCTCAGAGCAGCGCTGGCCTCGCAGGACGCCAGCGCCCACGGGGGAGACGGGGTCTGAGCCCCCACAGCGGGCGGGGGCCCAACGCAGAACCCGCAAAAGCACAGGGAAAAGACAGCCCAAGGGGTTGCGGGGGCCAGGGGGTGGGCGCTAGGCTAGACCTGGCCCCAGGACACGGGTGGAAGCAGGACTTCTGTCCCTGGAATTTTCCAGATTTGGCGGGGGGAGGGGAGGGGACAGGGGGAGGAATACCCTGTTTCTCAAGTGCTGAAGTCCTCAATTCCTTCCTTCCTTCCTTCCTTCCTTCCTTCCTTCCTTACTTCCTCCCTCCTTCCCTCCCTCCCTCCCTCCCACTTGGCGGTGCTCAGGGCTCACCCCTAGCTCGGGGTCAGAGATCATTCCTCAGGGGATCATGCAGGGTGCTGGGGACTGACCCTGATCGCCCGCATGCAAGGCACCTTCCCTATCCGCTGGACAACGGCTCCTGCCCCCCTAAGGTCCCCAGTTCCCAGGGTCCCTGTCAGCGCAAACCCCGGCAGGCCTAGGACTCAGTAGGAGCCTCGGGGGTCAGGGGCTCCAGCCCAGCCCAGGGTCCCCTCCCTGCGCCAGCAGCACCCCAGGGGGCAGCAGAGAATGGGGGGAGGACTCAGCCCCACCCCACCCCCCACGTCTCATCCTGACCCTGCATCCTGCAGGCACAACATCTCCCCCCAGACCCGGGGACACCGGGCTGCAGCCACCGTCCCCTCTGACAGGTTCTGGGCTTTCAAACCCTCCCAGAGGGAAGCGGCCACCCCACGGCTTCTGTTTCCTCTCCCGCCCTCCCCTCCGCATCCCCTAATCTATGCAGCAGACACATTCTGGCACATTCTCCTTCAAACGTCCCTTCCTCCGAGTCTCCCGCAGCAGGGGGACATCTGCAGGCAGGAATGACTGCACAGCGGGACCCCCGCGGTGGCTCCTCTGTGACGCGCCACCCCCCTCCCCCGGACCCCAAGCATCTGTGTCCCGTTCACCCAGAACCTTCCTTCAGCACAGGGGCAGCCTGTGCCCTCGACCGAGCTGTCACCCATCTGCAGCCGTGTCTGAGGGCTCCACGGGACCCCTGGGTGGTGCGGAGCAGAGGGACAGTGGGGGACAGGTCAGGGCTGGTCTGGAGTCAGCAACCCAGGGAGCCATCTCCTCCTCCCCGACCCCTGCCAGTCCCAGGCTTTGATCATTTCAGAAGGACACTTGGGTCATGACAGGACAGCAGGATGGGAAAGGGGGGAGGGGCTTGATGCCCGCAGACCCCAGCTCGGCCACCATCGGGTGCTCCGGAAGTGATATAGGCAGGCTGATTAGGGGATACACCCCCCATCATGGCAATGAAAATTTTTTTTTTTAATTTTATTGAATCACTGTGGGCTGGAGTGATAGCACAGCGGGTAGGGTGTTTGCCTTGCACCTGGCAGACCCGGGTTCGATTCCTCCGCCCCTCTCGGAGAGCCCGGCAAGCTACCGAGTATCTCGCCCGCATGGCAGAGCCTGGCAAGCTCCCCATGAGGTATTCGAGATGCCAAACACAGTAACAACATGTCTCATGATGGAGACGTTACTGGGCCTGCTGGAGCAAATCAAAGGATGAACACAACCAGTGCTACAGTGCTACTGAATCACCGTGAGATACAGTTACAAGCTTTCATGTTTGGGTTACAGTATCACAATGACCAAACACCCATCCCTCCACCAGTTCACATTCCCCACCACCAATATCCCCAATATACCCCCCCTTTTCCCACCCTCCCCCTGCCTCCATGGAAGATATGATTCCCCATAATCTCCCTCTACTTTGGGGCATTATGGTTTACAACACAGATACTGAGAGGTTATCATGTTTGGTCCTGTATATGCAAATGACATTTCTAGAAGTAATAAAGCCACTGGTCCTAACCCTGACCCACCTTGAGGCTCCAGAGAGCAAGTCCTGATAAGACCTTCCCCTGGCCCACAGCCGACCCCGAGGAGACGGCCCCTCCCTGCAGAAAAGGCCTGAAGGAAATTACTCAGAACCCTCCATTCCTTCCTTTAATCTGCCTAGCCCTCAGCTGGCCCAGACCAGAGACGGCTGGACCCTCCACCCTCCGAGGGAAGATCCAGCAGGAATAAAAGTCAAAGAAAATCAGTTTGTTTTTTTTTTCCTTTTTGGGTCACACTGGGAGATACACAGGGTTCCTCCTGGCTGTGCTCAGGGAACCCTACAGGATGCCGGGAATCGAACCCAGGTTGGCCACGTGCAAGGCAAAGGCCCTGCCCACTGTGCTATCGCTCCAGTCCCGAAAAGGAGTTTTCAAAGAGGGTCATCTCCAAGGCAAGATAAGAACCCAGCAGCTCTGGGTGAGGCCGGGACCCACGTTCCTTTCCTGCAAA